AGTATCAAACCGAGACCGAGACCAGAAGATGCAGTCCACCATGGAAGTGGCCAGCCCTCCGAAGCAGCTGATACAGCATGTGATGGTCATATGTGTAAATATATAACTCCCAGTGTTTATAACCTTACTGTCCTGTCACTGTAAAGTCTGTAACCTCTTATCCTATTACCACAGTGTGTAGTTAGGCACCACCATATATATCCATTCTTTACATATCTACCAACTTTAACAAACAATATAAGACCACTGCCTGGTCTATTACCAGTCTATTACCAGGCTTCACCTTAGTGCTAAGCCTATTTTCCAGTGCTTAACTACTTAGGCAAGAGAGCCAATGCCTAGCCTAGTCTTCCACAAACTCCGGACCTCCAGATGTTGCTGAACTACAACTCCCATGATTCTCAGCCTATCTATTTCATTCATAGAATCATGGGAGTTGTAGTTCAGCAACATCTGGAGGGCCGGAGTTTGAGGAAGCCTGGCCTAGCCTATTACACCGCTTCCCAGTGTATTACCCCAGTGCCTATGTATTACATCACTTTCCATTTAATGACACAAGGATCTACCTATACCTGACATAGCCTATTACACTACTGCACATTCAATTACCCAGTCCTGACCTGCTACTGCACTGGCCAGTCAATTACCCCAGTGTCTTTTTATTGCTCACAGTGTGTCTACCACAGTGGATGATCCTAAAACTGTTTTTATGCAACATCTCAAGGCCAGGCTGTATGTGAGACATTGTTGAATGACACGTCCGATGTACATGAAATTACAACGGCAGACATATTTGTAATTTTGGGCCTATTCAAATGTCGTAATTGTAAAGGAAAGGAAGATAGAACCATAATGAAATGTAATTCATAACAATTTTACTAGCACGGACTAGGGAGTAAATTATTTACAGACAAGTGATGCGATATAATTTTTGTCAGCTACACTTTAAGAGAAAATGCGTGTATTTTTCTATTGTAATCATGTTTTTAAGTGTTGAAATGGATTTGCGACTGTCAAACACAAGAACTTTGCTTATGTTTTCTAAAAACTATCGTCTATGTGAAATGAATGAAAATTGGTTAAAATATACCAGATATGAAAAACTGTACAACATAAAATTATAGTGCATTTAATGATTTGAACGTGAGCAAAGTTTGGCATTGTAATATTGTTGCTTTGTGTTTTATGCTAGCATATATTTTACTGACACCGAGCAAAGTGCTGTAAAAATCCTATCTGACAGACATAAAAAAACAGATTTATTTTTATAAAGGATTAGTTTTTTTTCTTTATGGAAAATGTTGGGTGGTGTTTTGTCGATACACTAGATGAGAGTTGTAGTGACTTTAAAGTGACTTCAAAAAACACCATGACATTAGGAATACAAATGTGTATTGCTAACGCACTAGTGTCTCTGTCCCTAGTTTGCTAGGTCTGTACCTTGGTGAATAAGAGGTTAAAAACTCCTTTTTTACTTACTCTAATTCCAGTGGTGAGGCTCCCTCTGTGCTGGCTAGGGTTCCTCCTCAACAATGTCACAGAGATGAGGGGACCTCTGCCCCATCAGATAGGGAGGTGTGAGTGGTATAATCTGAGTGGTGGGAGTTGGTGGGACATGACTGAATACAAGCTCTCTGTCCGACAGCACAAATTAACTTGAATCTTTGACCGAGGTACCACACAGTAGCAATACAATATCGGTTGGTAGGAGATAACAGTCACAGAAAGGGGTTAAGAGATACTCAAAGTATTAGGGAGGGTAACAGACACTAAAGGGGGTATGGGTTGTTAAGAGACCCTAACGGGTCATAAAATTTACAAGGGGAGAGGTGAGAAGAGACACAAAACGGGGGGTTAGAGTGAGCCACAAAAAATACATTTTACAATCCCGGGAGGGACAACTCACAGTTCTGTCCCAAATAACCTAAATATGTATCTGTCCCTTTCATTCCCTTGCATAGAGGACAGACCTGGGCAAGATCGTATGATCATGACATTTCTGAAATTCAGCCATTCACCCTTAAGAACAATATAAATCAGGTATCTCAAACACTCACACTATCAAATATTACTGAACTACAACACCCATGATTCTCTAGTCTTTTTCTGCATCCAAAGAATTCTGGAAGCTGTAGACCATGAACATTTTGGAGCAGTGGTGGGTGAGGGCAGAGTTTGGGAACCCTGACCTAAATTATTTTTGTAAAGTAGAATTTAGAGAAATGTAATCTTCAGATTAAACACAAAAAGTAACTTTTGCATTTGTTAGTTATTGCTTATTCATCAGTTTCATTCTGCCAAAAACAGAGGATAACATATTATCTGGCTGCTGTTAAACAGTAAAAAAAACAGAAACTCACTAAAATGGCAGAGCTGTAGATATTGCACGCTATTTTTACATATACTCCCAGTGAAAACATGCATAATTTCATTCGTGCAAGTTTTCGTTAAGTGACGTGATGTTTTGAAGTGTCCTGTGAGTGCACCAAATCTCTATAGTAGAAAAAATAATTAGTTTAATTTGTGAATATGCAATATCATAACATGCAGATAATAAATATATTATTTCAGGGTTCATATATATTTTCATGCATTTGATCCAACATGATGTGAAGCTCTCATTCATTCGCGCCTTCATGAGTTCCTTCGTGAAGGCGCTTACTTAGCAACAATGACACAGGCTGATAAAATAGCATCCGACGTTTCTTGGAAACATAGATGGCACAATGACATATATTACATGTTATTAATGATTGCCTATATGAATACATTAAATATGACTGAAGGAAGCTGAAACATGTAGTACTGTGCCTATTAGTTTATCGTCTGAAAAAATTCAAATAATAACAAATCATAAAAGCTAAATAAGTTACTAAGTTAAGATGCTATGTTGTTATTATTTAAATTGCTCATAGGATATTACATATAACATATAAATACTCATTTTGTCTGTGGGTTGTGTGTTTAACTCTCTATGTTAGAACGCAAAGTGAAGGGCATTCACTTAGATAAAGATTACACAAAGGAAACGCTGGTATTATTATTATTTTATTATTTATATAGCGCCAACAAATTCTGTAGCGCTGTACAATGGGATTGTACTTGGTTCTCTTCATAGTAAATAGGGTTTCACAATGGACATGTCATACCTTATTTTGTGTTTTGAATTCTTTCCTTATGTTCATATACAAAATGTAGAAGTTTGTCTTCTATATAATTTCATCCTTTTTTTTTTTTTTTAAAAACCACTATATACACTAGTTCTTTTTTCTACACTTTAAATGAACCGAACTATAAATGTTACTTCTCTGTAAGGTTATGGTAAAGTGTTTTTTTTAGTTATTTGATTAAATATATTTTAGTCCTGACAGTAATTTTTGGGTACTTATTTTTATTTTTAGAAGATGTCCCTCTTAAATTATATTGATTCTAGCAAGATAATAAACTGATGTCAGAATGTTCCTCCGTTTTACTAAAAGTGAGCCGAAATATGAACTCAAGTAGTCACCAAAGTGAAATAAGCAGCATTTTCAGTACACAGATTATACTGTATTCATTTTAAGAATTTCATTAACTCGTAAAAAAAAATGTAACCAAAATTGCCAATAATTTGACTCTGAATTAATGATATTCAGGGGCAATGTTCTGAGATTTGTACTTGTCGACATTTTTACGAGTAAAAAAAAATGCAAAAAAGTAAAAAGCTACAATGCTAAATACTGTAAAATAACTTAAAAACAAAAGAAAAAAAACAAGAAAACTACAAAATTTTCCCGACTATCCTATTACGTAGAAAGGTTACAATTTAATGGGCTAGCATGTGCAGATTAATCATGCAATTAGGAAGTATGAGTAACAATTGGTTTAACCTCACACAGCTTCACATGGTTTGGGGACTGAGTGGTAATTCCCCCACACACGCATACTCTTAATAGAATGCATTCTTTTTTTTTTTTTTTATCTTTATCCTGTTTCCATTTTCTTTTCTATTCTGTTTTGGCTTATATATATATATTTAGGGTCTCCCTAATTTAAAATAGTGATTAAAATATGGACTCCTTGATCACTGTACATATAACCTTACCAGCTATAAGTCGAGGTCCACAGAAGATATACAAAGTCATCTGTCTTTGCTGGATCTGTCTGTCAGAGAAGACCTCTAGGCATCTCTGTTCTTACCCCTTGTAAGTAGATCAATCTGATGTGCATATAGTATAGGTTCCCTCTGTAATGGCACAGGTTAACTAGGATTTTCCTGGAAGCCTAACAAGATTGAAGCAAATTATAAAACTGAGTTTTTGCCATTATCAGTAGTATTATGTGTTTCATGTTAGTTGTTACTGTGGCACTTTGTCATGCCTGCACTTTTTTATTGAAACACTTGGTTTTATGTATTTCTTGTTAAGATGAGATTTAAAGGGAAACTTGGGTCACCATAACAACGTAATCTAAATTACATTGTTATGGTGCCAAGAGGCCCCAGGGCACACTCTTACTTTAAGAGATTAAACCAGGTCCCTCGGGTGGCATCTAACTTCTGAAACGAATTTTCAGGAAGCTCGGAGTGTTGCGTAAGAGTGCATCTGGGGGCCTCCTGGCTCCATAATAACTTTATTTAGACAAAGTGTTTAGGAGGCTTAAACTGTCCCTTTAAGTCTCTCATTTGAAACACTACATCTAGCAACTACTCAATTAAATGGGATTTTAGTGATTAAATAAAAGTTATGTTTTAGGATTCTTTCTTTTGTGCCATTTTCTGACAGAGACTTTAGATCCTTTTTGTATGTTTACAAACTCCTGATGTCAGCTGTGCACATGTTGGAATTCATTGGCTGAGATATGTATTGATACACTTATTTATATATCTATATTGATATGGGCCACTTCTGCTTTCGATATATAACAAGCTATAAATTACATTTCTGGGCTTTTTTTTCCTTCAAAGGAGCACTATAGGGTCAGGAACACAAAAATATATTTCTGACCCTATAGTGTTAAAACCACCATCTAGCACCGCAGGCCCTCTCTTGTCACACTAAATATAATAAAATCTTACTTGTATTCAAGCCTGAAGCTGCCGGTTTTGTCCCTGTTTGCCTAAGAACAGCAAGCTGCCTGCTGACATCATCAGACATGTTGCTATGGTCCAATCACAATGCTTCCCCATAGGATTGGCTAAGACTGTGAAGGAGGCAGATCAGGGGCAGAGCCAACACAAGTCAAACACAGCCCTGGCCAATCAGCATCTTCTCATAAAGATGAATTGAATCAATGAATCTCCATGAGGAAAGTTCAGTGTCTGCATGCAGAGGGAGGAGATACTGAATGTTGTGATTCAAACTAGGCAAGACTGAGACAGGAAGCAGCTCTAGCAGCCATCTGAGGAGTGGCCAGTGAAGTTATCACTAGGCTATAAAGTAAACACTGCATTTTATATGAAAAGACAGTGTTTACAGCAAAAAGCCTGACATTAATGATTCTACTCACCAGAACAAATTCAATAAGCTGTAGTTGTTCTGGTGACTATAGTGTCCCTTTAAGAAATATAATACTTGTGATGAATCGAAAACCACATTTGCAAATTTAAGGCCAAAAAATGCCAGAGTCGGAATAAAATCCATCTCTGAAAACAATCACTTCTTAACTATTGTGGCCCAAATGTTTTAAATTCAGGATTTATTTTTCTTGTTTACCACAATTCACTGTTTGGCGACTGAATCCCTAACAGGAAGCATTTTTTTTTTTAGAGAAGTGTTAGAAGCAGATAATTTTAAGTATCATAGTGAAATGTACGAATACCTCAGGGTAAGCATCCAAAATTAAGTACCCTTGCTAATTTAATGGATCGTCATTGGTTAGAACAGGGGCACTTTATTAGTCAAATCCTGCACAGAGTAGTGCAAAGAGCAAGTGTCACGGCTACCCAGATAGTAAGGGGGTATCAGCCGTTGGAGACGTCCTTTCCCTGGCAAGCTGCTGGGTAGTAATGGAGTTTCCTATTCCCATCCACGAGATCCAAGAGTAAAGTCATGCATAGCTGTAAAATGGAGCAAGGTAATTGTGCAGTAAATCCCCTTCCAAGAACGAGACAAGGCTATGTTTTGAAGGGTCAAGCAGAACTAACTTTTATTGACAGGGGTTCTCTTTTTATGCAATTCTGCCCTTGGGAGGGCGACACCTACATAATTAGTACAGTACCCAATCACAAACATGGTACAATCCACACGTCTCCTCCCCTCAGATAAACAGTTAACATAATTATTGTACACACATTTTTACCCAAGTTTTGGATGTACCCCAAAACCAGGGGGTACACCCTTAAATTCAGTATCCCCAGATAGCCCTCATCCAGGGGAACAACATATTGAAAAATCATCCCATTCGGTGAAAGCGTTTGGGAGTTATGGAGCTTGACCGACCGCCTAGGCATACTAGGCGAAAATAGTTCCATAAGTTTTGGCCTTGCGGTCGGTCCCCGTTTTGTGCGATGAAAAGGCACGAAAATCCTGCCATCCGCATGTAACTTGTTGTTCGCTGGAATCCCCACACATAGTATATCCTTTCTACCAAATGGCCGAGCGTTCGGTAGTTTCAGCACGAATTTACGATGTTATGGAGGTCTCAGTGGTGTTTGCCTACTCGAGTGTCCGATTTTAGTTCCAGACACTCAACGGCAAATCACCGCTGTTCGTGCGTTAAGATGGCCGCGAACACGTGCAAAGTCCCGAAATGGCGGCCACCTAGATTTAACACAAAGGATTCGTGCATTTATCATGCGAACGGTATATGCCGGTCTGGGAGGTAAAATACCACTTAATTGAACAGCAGGGTGGTCCTGTGTTCGGCAGTTTGTATTCGTCTTTGTGCCTGCTAGGTCTCTATCGCATGGATTGCACAAATAGACGAATACTGGCAACATAAGTCCCGAACTGTGCTATAATAATCCACATAACCAGGTAAGTATATTCCCTTGTATTCTCAGGCTTACGTATTGTCAAATATGTCCAGGCAGAAAGTAAAGTTCTGTTACAGCAAGGAGTTTTCATCAGTATACATGATTAAGGCTTGACGACGAAACGTCATTTTGTTCTCCTGATCCTGAATAATACTCCTTCCCATTTGTACTACTCTGGGAAGCCTTTGGAACTCGCAAGGCTGCATTCATTGACCGAGAGAGCTCAGCTGATTCTCCCAGGAATGATGTGGCCATGGATTGTAGAGATTAGTTCAGTGTAGCAAGCAGAAGCTTCTGCATGGAAAGGATACGTGATGGAACTCAAGTATGTTTTCAAATTGTTTGGACTTTTGGTGCTTAGAATGTTCCTTTAACCCCTTTCCGATCTTGGACATACGTCAGACAAAAAACACTCCTTAACCCCTTAAGGACCAAACTTCTGGAATTAAAGGGCATCATGACATGTCACACATGTCATGTGTCCTTAAGGGGTTAAGGACCACGGATGTACCTGATACATCTGCGGGGAATCAGAGCACTGGAAACAATCATGATCGCTTCCAGTAGCTCTAATGATATTGCAGTGATTCCTCGATGTCGAGGCATCGCACATTGCCCGCCCTCACTTCCGGGCCACTGGGTGAAAACTCCCCCGGAGCGATCACGTCCGGGTTGCCCACGTGATGCCCGGCAGTGTAGTGCAGAGCATCGGAAACCAGCAGGCAGGCTTCCGATGCTCTGCCTGTGCTGAGTGCCTCAAGGGGTAAAGGCACTCAGTGAAATAAATAATAAAATGTAAAATAAATTAAATAAAAATAAAATTTAACCCCTTTCCTCCCTCTTCCTATCTCCCTGCCTAACCCTCCCTCCATCTTCCTCTTCTATGTGCTCTATGTCCTCTTCCGCTGTTCCCCCGCTGGCGATCGGTGTTGTTCTTCAATGGGGGGACTGTCTGACAGCCAAGACTGTCCCCCCTCTGGAACCCCCAGGGGCTCTAAATGGCGGTCACATGGCCGCCATAGATGTCCATAGTGCTGCCAGCAGGAGGACTGCCTGAACTGCCTGAACTGAGCTGGTGAAAAAAGTTTTAAAAAAAATAAAAAGTTAATCAATTTAAAAAATAAATAAATAAATAATAATAAATAAAAAAAAAAATATATATATATATACAAATATTATATCTACACCCTGTTCCAAATTATTGTGCAAATTCTATTTAAGTGTCACAAAGATTAAATATTTTGTTTTTCAGTTTAACTCATGGATGGCATTTCTTTTGATTCTTTTGATCACCGAAAACAATCTCGGGCACCTGTGATAATTAGATTGCCAGGTGAGCCCAATTTAAGGAAAAACTACTAAAGGAGGGTGTTCCACATTATTAAGCAGAGCACCATTTTCATGCAGTATGGGGAAGAAAAAGGATCTTTCCGCTGCTGAAAAGAGTGAAATAGTTCTATGCCTTGGACGAGGTATGAAAACATTAGATATTTCACAAAAACTGAAGCGTGATCACCGCACTATTAAGAGATTTGTTGCTTATTCAGAGCACAGACGGGTTCGTGCAGATAAAGGCACATTGAGGAAGATTCCTGCCAGATCCATGCATCGGATCAAGAGAGCAGCTGCTAAAATACCATTACATAGCAGCAAGCAGATATTTGAAGCTACTAGTGCCTCTGGAGTCCCACAGACATAAAGGTGTAGAGTCCTCCAGAGTCTTGCAACTGTGCATAAACCTTCTATTCGGCCACCACTAGCCAATGCTCACAAGCAGAAACGGCTGCAATGGGCAGAAAAATACATGAAGACTAATTTTCAAACAGTCCTGTTCACTGATGAGTGCCATGCAACCCCGTATGGTCCAGATGGCTGGAGTAGTGGATGGTTGGTGGACGGCCACTCTGTTCCAACAAGCTTGCGACGTCAGCAAGGCGGTGGTGGAGTCATGTTTTGGGCCGGAATCATGGGAAGAGAGCTGGTCGGCCCCTTTAGGGTCCCCGAAGGTGTAAAGATGACCTCTGCAAAGTATGTGGAGTTTCTGACTGACCACTTTCTTCCCTGGTACAGAAGGAAGAACCATGCTTTCTGTAATAAAATTATCTTCATGCATGACAATGCACCATCTAATGCTGCAAAGAATACCTCTGCATCAATGGCTGCTATGGGGATAAAAGTAGAGAAAGTCATGGTGTGGCCTCCATCCTCCCCTGACGTCAATCCTATTGAGAACCTTTGGAGCATCCTCAAGCAAAAGATCTATGAGGGTGGGAGGCGGTTTACATCCATACAGCGGCTCTTGGAGGCTATTCTGACATCTTGCAAACAAATTCAAGCAGAAACTGTCCAAAAACTCACAAGTTCAATGGAAGCAAGACTTGTGAAGCTGCTATCAAATAAGGGGTGCTATGTTAAAATGTAACATGACCTGTTAAAATGTTTAAAAAGTTAAAATGTTGTTATAGGTTTGATTGAAATAGCTTTTGATTTCAGTAAATATGCTGCAAACACAACAAATGACAATTTCAGGTCTTTACAACCTATAAAGTGTTTTGAAACTTACTGTGCATAATAATTTGGAACAGTGCAAATACTGTTATCATTAGGAGGTTTGTTCAATAAAATTTGAATTGTACTCTTAATAGTTGATAACATGAGAATTATGCTGACTGTTATTTACATCAATTATTTAGGTAAATGAGAAAAATATAATTTGCATAATAATTTGGAACAGGGTGTATATATAATAAGTATATATATATATACATATATATATATATATATATATATATATATCTTATATATAATGTCATACTAAGAGTATTTTTCTGATTAATATATACATATATATATATATAAGAAAGTGTATGTTTATATAGTAATATAGAAATACACTTAGAGTAAAATTACACACGTGTGTATATATATATATATATATATATATATATATATAATAACCATATATTGTATACATATTATTATAAAAAAAATAATGATTAATTTAAAATTAATTTTAAAAAGTAAACATAATTTATTTATTTTTTTAAAGTTTAAAAAATTATATATATGTAATTTTATTCTAACTGTATTTTGATATTAATATATATATATATATATATATATATACGAGTATCAAAATACACTTAGAATGAAATTATATATATATATATCTATGCATATATAAATAAATAAAAATAATATGAAATATACATATGTCCAGATACATAATTACATAAATAATTTCATAAATATACACATAGACTTCAAATATATAAATATGCATATATATTTAAATTCTACATGCATATTTATTTAATATTTTTACATAAGTAATTAAGTAATTTTATTTATTGCAACTTGGGGGACCTGCCTGACAACCCAGGCCAAAAGTCCAGAGAACTTAATTTGCTAGCACTATATTTAACCCTAAAACCTGTACATGGGTGGTGCTGTTTTACTCGGTAGACTTCGCTGAACACAAATATTAGTGTTTCAAAACAGTAAAACATACCACAGCGATGATATTGTCAGTGAAAGTGAAGTTTTTTGCATTTTTCACACACAAACGGTACTTTCACTGATGGTATCTTTGTTGTAAGATGTTTTACTGTTTTGAAACACTAATATTTGTGTTCAGCGAAGTCTCCCGAGTATAACAGTAGCACCCATGTACAGGTTTTATAGTGTTTTTGAAAGTTACAGGGTAAAATATAAGGCCACTTTTTCACATAGAAATTTGCCAGATGGGTTTGTTGCCTTTGAGAACGTATGGTAGCCCAGGAATGAGAATTACCCCCATGACGGCATACCATTTGCAAAAGAAGACAACCCAAGGTATTGCAAATGGGGTTTGTTCAGTCTTTTTTTTTCTTTTTAATTCTTTTTTTTTTCATGCCAGAGAAATACAACATTGATATCGGTTATGTCACTATAGTTTTGCAGTTTAGCTTTTCACATGACATGATGAAAGGGCATACATTTTTAACATTAATCATGTTTGAACAACATATATCAGGAGGAGGTTAGTCAGGGCCTACAGGGCTCTTACTAAGATTGATACGTTGTGGGGTGGTACAAGAGGGTTCAGTCTTTTTTAATAGCCACTTAGTCACAAACACTGGCCAAAGTTAGCATTCATAATTGTTTTTTGCATTTTTAACACACAAACAGATATAAATTCTAACTTTGGTCAGTTTTTGTAACTAAGTGGCTACTAAAGAAAACTGGATATACCACATATTGAATACCCTGGGTTGTCTACTTTTCAAAAATATATGGTTTGATGGGGCTAAGTTACATTGGACAGCTTCAAAAATGTACCAAATAGGACATGGGTGCATGATGATGACCAGCTGTGAAAATTCCAAAGTTAAAAACCGTAATGTGCACCCTCCAAATAAGGTCTTTTAGCACCCAGAGAACCCGACACACCTATACATGGGTGGTATCACTGTACTAAGAAGATATTGCCGAACACATATTGGGGTTTTCTTTGACAGCAACCCTTAAGGTTCTCAGTACATGTATTCTTAAATTGCTATGTGTTTACAAAAAAAATCACCTATTATTACTATTCTTTTTTTAAATTTGGCATAGATTAGTGGTAAAATGTTTGCATGAAAAGAGTCAAAATACCCCACGTTTAATTCCTTAGGTTGTTTTCTTTAAAGAAATATATACATGTGAAGGGTTATTCAGGGATTCCTGACATAAATCAGTGTTACAATGTAACTTGCAATCATTTTGAAAAGAAATGGTTTGGAAATAGCAAAGTGCTACTTGTACTTATAGCCCTATAACTTTCCAAAAGAAGGTAAGAACATTGGGTATTTCTAAACTCATGACAAAATTTAGAAACTATTTAGCATGGGTGTTTTTTGGCGGTTGTAGATATGTAACACATTTTGGGGGTCAAAGTCTGAAAAGGTGTGTTTTTTTATATTTTTTCGTCATATTTTATAAAAATTTTTATAGTAAGTTATATGATATCAGGAAAATACTGGTATCTTTGTGGGTACAGTAAATGAGTAAGAGGAAAATTACAGCTAAACACAAACACCGCAGAAATGTAAAAAGAGCCCTGGTCCTTAACGATAAGAAAATTGATAAACGGTCTGGTCACTAAGGGGTTAAGGACCACTGTTCTACTTTATAGAAAATGTTTGAAAATGCTTTGGGTCAATAAGTGAATGGACTTTATTTGCTGTACATAAACACCAAGCTGAAATGTACCTCCACCTTAGTTTGGACATGTTCATTTTACTGTGTATTTTGGAGATTTGTTCTTATCTCACCGAACAGTTGGACACTAGAGCTGTAACCTGGATTATGGGACATGTAACAGATTAGAACTTTATCAAAGCCACAAAGAAAAATGAATTGTCATAATTACACTGTGTAAATATCATAATGTGTTCATGCTTGTCTCCTGTCTCTGGAAATGAGCTGGTTAACCACTCTGGATATTTCTAGATAGCACGGTTCCTAAAATGTATGTTTTTTTTTGCAGCTGGGGATTTTGCAATGATGCAAATATCTCTTTAACTCCACCTATTGGCATGAGTGTACTGATGCCGGGCATTTTCAAGAACAAACTCTTAAAGACCAGGAGCCAGTCTACAATGCATGGGACGTTACAGGACATTTTTCTACTTTATCGAAGATCACTACTTCTTACTACTTCTATTTATTGCATTTTTTTCTCTGGAGAGTTGTTCTTACCATTCTAACATTTTAGGATTTTTGTATTCTCCTTTTTGGATTTTACAATAACATCTCAGATATACAATGGCTCTTTCTCATGCAATGGACACTTTTGTGTCAGGGAGAAAACAAGAACACGCATTTTCCTTTATTTTTCTTTGCTTGATGCTCGGACTAACTGTAGGTGCTATATTTTGTCTGATTTTGCACCTGTCCTCAGTATGCAGCCTTCCTTGTACTCTGATGATTTCTGTTTCTATTGGAGTCGTTATGTCGGTTCTTGCCTTCCTGTCCAGGTCAATGCGTTGTCTGGGATTGCTTTTTGTACTCTCCTGCATAATGAAAAAAGGAAGGAATGCTCTTATTGCAGCTGGTACAGGCATAGTTCTGCTTAACAATGTCAAAAATATTTGTAAAAATCTCAAAAACCTAGCGGAGAGCTTAACATGCAACTTGGAAGCAAAGCAGCTATTTGTAAATGTATTCCCTCTGGGCATTTTTGTTAAAATCATGCATTTCATTTTTAAACAAAGTCATGATTTCTTTGAGATTCTTAAATTTGCAGATTCTTTTAAGTGTAATGCAAAAATAAACAGTGAGAATATTGAACTTGCGATAAATGAAACAAAAGCAAAAATTCAAAATACATCGGAAAGTATAGCTTCGCTGCTTGACATTGCTTCTTACGCAGGACATATATTGATTCTCATAATTGGTATTTCATGGGTGTTACTTGGATCTTGGCTTTTTGTAAGGAAATTTTTGAGTCATGAAAGCAAAACATTTGATAATCTGTATATTACCAAGAGATTTATGCTTTACGATCAGTGCACGAGGCAACAGAATGAAGTTTGTGTTTTACCTCTCAATAATCAAGAAAAGAAAGAGTATATCATAATACCAAGTCTGAAAATGTCAAAAAAACAAAATAAGTTACTGTGGCTATATTTCATCCCTGTCTTCACAAATATGTTCATTTGGACCTTTCTCATGTTTCTAGACTTTGTTTTTTATTGGCTGATAGTTACAGTAAGCAAACATCTCCAAGAAATTCCACCTCTTGAGATACCAGTAAGAGCGTATTTTTCTGTAAGTACTATACTCATAGCATACTTTGTCCAGTGACTGTAGATGAGTTAGAGGGCAAGGAGAAACATATATCAATCCAACTCATCGGTTTCATGGAGACTACGAAGCAAAAGTAAATCTGGGGCAAAGTTCTGAAAGTGGTGGAAACAGTCGGTGAAAGATTCCATTAGTTTCACTTTTTGAATTTTACCCCACCATGGAATACATAAAATTTCCGTGGTCAATAAATCAGCAGACACCTAATCTGTAAAGTAAATGAGTAACCTAGCACACCAGATGTGTGTGAGCTCCATATTGCATGATTATTCGCCGGCCTAAATAATTCACTATGGCAATGAGTAGTGCTGATCTAAAAACTGGCTCCCAAAAATGAGGCCAAAATAACTGACTTGGAAAAATTCCCAAATTTGGGTATTTAACCCTACGTTTTGCAATTTAGATCGTGAGGTTCTCTGCTTTGGGAACAGTCACCATAAACAAATTGGCTTTGTCCAGTTCAAAAAATCTTATCACACTGACTTACAAACTTTTGTTTCTGTCCCAAGTTGATAATGTTCTATGTTCTATTTTCCTCTTTCATGATCGTTTTTACTTACTTATATAAACACATGTAGGCTTAGGTATTAATCCTTGAAAAAAAACAAGGAAAAAAAAAACATGGAAGGACTTTAGTACATATGCCAATAGTTAGATTTTTTTTTTTTTTTTATGAATTAGCATGATTAGCATAAAAAATACAAATCTTAAAGACTACTGATCAGAAATTGCACAATTTTGTCTAGTGTATAGAGTGATAGTTAAAAAAGAAAAAAAAAAAGAATCCAAAATTAAGACGCTGCCCAGTAGACTTGTGCAAAAATGAATTTCAAGCAATTTGCCGAACAAAATTCCTGTTAATTGATAATGGAGCAAATTGCTTCTGAATTGATCTTATCTGTTGATTTCACAAGTGAAAATAGAGGTAAACGACTGCACATGTTTATTGTCCAGGGTTTTCACATTCTACAAAAAGGTTTTATTGTAAAAAATAAATTTTGTGGATCGCAAGCCTAGTAGTAGGGCCTAGGTCCAGTAGCTTTTTCGAAATAAATATTTTTAATTTGGAATCTTTGTGTAGTGTTTGATATTTGGTGTTACTTATAAACAACGTCCTCAAAATGGTGTCAAAATTGCATTTAAAATTTTATGTTGTGATTTCAGCAGCTTTGAAAACAGTAACATTCCTAATGATACTTCAAATTCCTTGGTTAATTAGCATATTGAGGGATTTTAAGAAATAGGCTACTATGTTGGGTTAGGGTTCTCTAGGATTATGGGATTACCAGGTTAGCTGCAATATACAGCATCCTCAGTGTTTGGGCGGAAAGAAGTTAAACCAGTTGTACACATTGTGCTCTTTTGATGCACGATAACTGTGTGGGATAATGTAGTATGATGTGCTGTAATGATGTATGTCCAAAAATAGTCTGCATTGTTGTATGTCCAAAAATAGGCGGGTAAGGCACTCTAGGCAGTAGCTTATTACAGGTCACTAGCTCCGTGAAAGAGGGATTTTGAGTCCACCACAGTAGAAGAAATTGCAATCCAAGGGCTTCACAATGTAGATGCTTAATAGTCACATTTATTTGCGCTCACAGGATGCCACACGAAAAATAAATGCTAAGTTTCGGCTTTACGGGCTTAGTGTTGTTAAGGCCTTACTGTGTCATGACTAGGACTGTGTAGGCCTAAACATCGCATTTACTTTTTTGTTGTAACCTATGAGGACCAATACATTTGACTATTGAGCACTTACATTGTGATTGCATTGATGTATGTGTTGTGAATGGATTTAAATGTATTATTATTATTATTTGGTATTTGTATAGTGCCAGCATATCAGTTATGTTGATATTTTGTTCTACATTTATTTTGCATGCAGGGCAAGAAAAAAGCTTTTTTAGTACCTGAAACCAGTAGCACAGCCACGTATGAAGAACACGTCCAAATGTATCTGTTTGAACCAAAGTGTAACCCAATGCCAGGTCTGTGTCTCTCTGACTCCTGGATTCCCATCAGCATCATAATCATTGTATTGTTTATTTTTGGGACATTGTCTCCTTTTCTCATACAAACCAAAATGCTAGTGGCAGGAGCTTTTTATCCAGACAAGGACTTAGAACGCATAAAGTACATTCACAATGAAATACTAAGGAAAAGATCGAAAACTACGTCTGACGGTGAAAGACGAAGTCTGGGTACCATTATTTCACAAGTAAGGCACCAAGAATTTGCCATTTATTGCAATTATTCATCTTGAGTTTTTATTAGAATTTAACAGCTACAATTTAATAAGATTTTGTTACCAAACACATTGTTGCATCAAACAAGTGCAGATTATTTAACTCCTAGATTTTAAATCAGCAAATCTATTTCATAACAAGTCTATGATGTTTAGAATGAAATTAGAGTTTTGTTGTTTTGTTAAGAAAAGATAAAAACAATAAAGAGAAGTGAAACTCTGCACGTTGGCCAAGCTGTCTTGACTGAAACAACATAAGTTTTAACTGTTTTAACCCTGTTTGACTGTCACAGTATTCATTTTTCCTGCATGTGCAGATCTAAATACTTGGAAATGAATAAATGAATAAGTATCTTAAGGCATTATGTATTCCATGCAAAGTTGCACTTGTTGTTTGTGATATAGCTTTTGAGGGGTTTTTATAATGCGTGTCCTATTTCAGTTTCTGATACATAGCAGCTATGAACACAGTCATCTTCTGTACCAGAAGGTCCATGGGTAGGGCGGTTGCTTTGGGTTTCATTGTGGAAAATGAAAACTTGAACTCAATGGCTGGGCAGTGTCAGATACAAAAATGTATTTGATTTATTCACACAGTTGCTACTAACAACTTGACAAAGTTTTGGAGGTGCTCACATTCCCCTCTCTAAAAGTTCCAAAATGTTGTTGCATAAGTAACGAAATGATCGATTGATAAAGAGAGTCATGTTTATCCTTGTAAAGTTGGTGTAAGGTCTTCTCCCATGTATGTTTTGGTGAAGATAAAGGTATGTGAAGATCTGATATCATGCATGTGTGAGGTCCTTCTACCAGACATGATGGAGGTGTAAGGTCTTCCTATCATGTATATTCTAAAAAAGGGAGTTTCCCGGCAAAGATGTAGGTATGTAATGTGAGGACCTCCTGGCAGTAAGTGATAGAATGAAATGAGAACCCTGGGATATCTTGTTAATGTCATGCAAGACCTACTGCTGCACTTTAGTTAAAACAGATTGACTGCTATCTGAATATACTTAGATGAAGGTTGAATGAGTTCAGGAAGCAGGTCCTATCAGACGGGCAGATGATAAAATAAGAGTAGGACCAAGGCTGGGTCAAATCAGACAAAACATCTTCTTAATTGCAGAACATAGTAAAAACACAGAGAGCAAATCAAAAGATTGGTCAATCCATAATCTGTTTAGACATTTCATCCCAACACTGAGACTTAATCAAATTATGAAATAACCTAATATTAGCCACTGCTGTAGGGGAGATGTAGACAGGTAGTAAGACTGGATATGTTAAACAATAAATAAATAAATACATTTATTATTCCACTTATATCTAAAGGGTATACCATTTCAATGTGTTTTAGTAAAGAAAAACTGTGTTGACTGTTGTAATCAATAATATGACAAAATAACTGTGTCTTTAACTACTGATATTTCTATTTTCAGGCAAACTTCTGGTTTCCAATTTTGAAAATGAAGTACTCTGAATTAATAGATGAGGAACACAACCAAAACGAGATTGAAAGCAAAGTTTAAAATAAATGACAATTTCGTACAACACATTTTTGCAAATCCAAAAAATTAAATATATAAATGAAAAAAAATAATAAAATCAGCTCACTTATTCTACTTCCTCATCATGTCTTTCAACTTCCCCTTTTTCCTATGTATGTTTTTTTTTAAGTGACAGTTCGGCACATTATTTAAATTATGTCTGATAGCGGGATACATTTTAATCCCTGTATATTTCTGTAAAGTTGGAAAAGACAAAAATGTTTCATGAAAACCAGGCTAACAAAAATAATGGAAAATAAAAAAGCAAGGTAAACTGTGTTTGTAACAGTCTGATTCTAAAGTTAATACTCATTAATAATAAAAGTCTCAGTAATATTCAAATATACATATTATAGTAAGGTGTTTCCTTACACATGTAAAACGGGTATGTAAATGTTTATCAATCTATGAGACAATTCCAAACTGTCACACATGCAGGCACACATGAACAAACACTGGCACACATATAGATACAGATACACAAACACACCTGCAGATACACAGATGCAAACACTGAAACACATGCAGATACAAACACTGACATACATACAGGTACAGATGAACAGACAAACAGACACACAGATACAATGATACACAAACATACAGATAAAAACACTGACATATATACACAGACACACAAAAACATACATACAGATACACCAATACAAACACTGACACACATACAGATACAGACAGAATTAAACACTGATGCACATGCAGAAACACGGACAAACAGACATACTGACACACATACAGGTACACAGATACATACCCTGACACAAAGATACATACACTGACACATATGCATATACACAGACACACAGATACAGACACTGATACACACAGATACACATGACACACAGATACATACACTGACACACAGATACTCACACTGACACACTGACACACAGATACACTGACATACATGCAGATACAGACATACAGAGACAGACACTGACACACAGATACATACCCTGAAACACATGCAGATACATCCCCTGACACACATACAGATACACACCCTGACACACAGATACATACCCTGACACACATGCAGTTACACAGACACATAGATACATACACTAACACACTTAAGGATACACACCCTGTCAGGCATACAGAAACACTCTGACACACAGATACATACCCTGACATGCACTCTGACATGCAGATACAAAGACTCAGATACATACACTGACACACTTAAGAATGCATACACTGACACACTTAAGGATACATACCCTGACACGCAGATACACACCCTGACACACAGATGCATACCCTGACACACATCAGATACACAAACACATGGATACATACTGAGACATATACAGATGCATACCTTGACACACATACAGACACATACCCTGACATATACAGAAACATACACTGACATACATACCCTGACACACAGATACACACCCTAACAAGCAGACACACACCCTGACACACAGACACATACCCTGACACACTTAAAGATACACACCTTGACACACAGGCAGATACACAGACACATACATGCATACACTGACACACATGCAGATACACACCCAGACACACAGGCACACTGACAAACAGATACATATACTGACACACAGGCACATGCACAGAGATACATACACTGACACACATGCAGATACACAGACACATATATACATACCCTGATACACTTAAGGATACATACACGGATACATATACAGATACATACACTGACACACAGATACACACCCTGACACATACCCTGACACACAGACACACAGATACATACCCTGACACACATGCAGATACAAATACGCATAGATACATACACTGACACACTTAAGGACACACAGATACACACCCTGACAAACAGATGCACACCTTGACACACATGCAGAGACACATACAGATACACAAAGACACACACTGACACACATATACATATACTGACAAACATGCAGATACACATAAACATATATACATACACTGACACACTTAAGGATTCATTTATTTATGTATTCATTTATTTATTTATAAAATATTTTACCAGGATGGATATATTGAGATTTCTCTCATTTTCAAGTATGTCCTGGGTCCACAAAACATTGAATTGTTACAATAGGATACAATATTACAAAAATGCAATACACAAACTATATATATATTTACATACACACATATTAAATTTAATACATAACAGGTAATAAATATTTTCAACCATGACACACATACACAGATACAGACACTGACACAAATCCTCACACACAGATACTTATCCTGACACACAGATACATACCCTGAGACACAGATACACAAAGCACAGGGGTGCTGTGTTTGTGTGTGTGAAGGTTGCTACGTGTGTGTGTGTCTGTGTGTGTAAGGGTTGCGCTGTGTGTGTGTCGGAGGTGCTGTGTCTGAGGGGTGCTCTGTGTGAGGGGTGCTCTGTGTGTGTATGTGTGTGTGTAGGGTGCTGTGTGTGATAGGTGCTTTGTGTGTGTGTGTGGGGTGCTGTGTTAGTGTGTGTGAGAGGTGCTCTGTGAGGGGTGCTCTGTATGTGTGTGAAGGGTACTGTGTGTGAGGGGTGCTCTGTATGTCTGTGAGGGGTGCTCTGTTTGTGAAGGTTACTCTGTGTGTTTGAGGGGTGCTGTATGTGAGAGGTGCTATGTGTAAGGAGTGCTCTGTGTGAGGGGTGCAGTGTTTGTGAGGGGTGCTCTGTGTGAGTGGTGCTCTATGTGTGTGAGCGGTCATGTGTTTGTGAGGGGTGCTGTGTGTGAGTGAGGGGTGCTGTATTTGTGTGAGGGTTGCTCTGTGTATGAGGGGTTCTCTATGTGAGAGGTACTGTTTTTGTAAGGAGTGCTCTGTGTGTTTGTGAGGGGTGCTCTGTTTGTGAAGGTTACTCTGTGTGTTTGAGGGGTGCTGTGTGTGAGAGGTGCTATGTGTAAGGAGTGCTCTGTGTGAGGGGTGCAGTGTTTGTGAGGGGTGCTCTGTGTGAGTGGTGCTCTATGTGTGTGAGCGGTCATGTGTTTGTGAGGGGTGCTGTGTGTGAGTGAGGGGTGCTGTATTTGTGTGAGGGTTGCTCTGTGTATGAGGGGTTCTCTATGTGAGAGGTACTGTTTTTGTAAGGAGTGCTCTGTGTGTTTGTGAGGGGTGCTCTGTTTGTGAAGGTTACTCTGTGTGTTTGAGGGGTGCTGTGTGTGAGAGGTGCTATGTGTAAGGAGTGCTCTGTGTGAGGGGTGCAGTGTTTGTGAGGGGTGCTCTGTGTGAGTGGTGCTCTATGTGTGTGAGCGGTCATGTGTTTGTGAGGGGTGCTGTGTGTGAGTGAGGGGTGCTGTATTTGTGCTGTATTTGTCAGGGGTGCTATGTGTGTGTCTGAGGGATGTGCTCTATGTGTGTGAGGGGTGCTGTATTTGTGCGGGTAAAGGGTATTGTGTGTGTGTGCGTGAGGGGTGCTGTGTGTGACTGTGTTATGCTATATATTGGAGGGGAATAGGAGTAATTAAGCATATATATATATATATAGTAATTAAGCATTTATATATTTATTATTACTTAAAATTTCGACCATAATAGGCCTTAAAACGTTGCAGGAGTTTTATATGTTGTAAATTTTTCACACCTATTTCTTAAATTCTTAAACTAAAATTAAATGTAAATATCCATGCTCTTTAACCAGCAAATTGTCACCTCCATCTTAGCTTGCTGTCAATCATTGTTATAAGCTCTGTCTTTTGCACCTGGCAGTCAGCATAGACAATAATGTAGAGGAGAAATTTTAAAAAGTTAATATTTCTTCTGTTTGTTTGAATTGTTTGTCCTGTCTGTGTCTGGATGAGTGTCAGGTGTAGCCTGACATGTATTTCGCCGTAGGAACCCACTTCCGGGTTCACTGAGCTTAGCCCCGCCCCTTTTTCTGACGCGGTCCTTCCACGCTACTTAGGAAGACCGCGCCAGATTCAAAGGGCTGGATTATTGCACAGGTGCCTGCAAAACTTATCAGCTGCTCTACCTTGATCCTGCCTGTACCGAATAACGTTCTGGGACGACTACCCTCCTTCTCCACTCCTTGACCTCGGCTTGCTAAAACGGACTTCTACCTTCTCCACTCCTTGACCTCGGCTTGCTAAACGGACTTCTTCCTTCTCCACTCCTTGACCTCGGCTTGCTAAACGGACTTCTACCCCTCTCCACTACCATTGGATGTAATTAACTCCTTCAGTTCCAGAACTGCCTCTTAAGTTAAGTAATTGTTTCTACAATCAAGCTACTCTCTGTTACTAATAAGAGACTGTCTCTAAAGGCTCATTACTGTGTCATTTTCTCAAGTTACTCTCTGTTATACATATGGAACTGCTTCTAAGGCTAAATTCTTCCAATAATCAAATTATTCCCAGCTGCAATTCTGTCTTGCCTCATTGATAATCTTGCTTGCAATTATTCTATCATAACTAAGCTAAACCTAACTCTGCATATTTTTCTGCATTATTCCTAAATTGGGACTATTTGGCTTGTGCAAATCTTCATTGGCTTATTCTTTACTCACAATTAACATCCTGCTTGAGCGTTTAAAGCTACAGTAACCTCTCCTCCACATCAGTACAAAAGGAGGTGAAACTAATAGTTACTGCAATTAGAAAATTCTGCAGTTGAGTTCCAATTAAAATTAGTATTACAATGAGATGGTTTGCGGTGTCATTCGCCAAGTCTTTAATAGACATTAGAAAAAAAAATGGACAATCACATGAAAAAAAACATAATAAAAGTTCTTGTTTTTTTCAATGGTTTATTCAATGGTGTAATTTATAGCAAAGTTCCCTTTTAATCATGGCACACTCACCACGGTTGAAGATCCATGGCACACTCACCATGAGTGAAGATCCATGGCACACTCACCATGAGTGAAGATCCATGGCACACTCACTATGGGTGAAGATCCATGGCACACTCACTATGGGTGAAGATCCATGGTACACTCACTACGGTGAAGATCCATGGCACACTCACCATGAGTGAAGATTCATGGCACACTCACTATGGGTGAAGATCCATGGCACACTCACTATGGGTGAAGATCCATGGCACACTCACTATGGGTGAAGATCCATGGCACACTCACTATGAGTGAAGATCCATGGTACACTCACTACGGTGAAGATCCATGGCACACTCACCATGAGTGAAGATCCATGGCACACTCACTATGGGTGAAGATCCATGGCACACTCACTATGGGTGAAGATCCATGGCACACTCACTATGAGTGAAGATCCATGGTACACTCACTACGGTGAAGATCCATGGCACACTCACCATGAGTGAAGATCCATGGCACACTCACCATGAGTGAAGATCCATGGCACACTCACTATGGGTGAAGATCCATGGCACACTCACTATGGGTGAAGATCCATGGTACACTCACTACGGTGAAGATCCATGGCACACTCACCATGAGTGAAGATTCATGGCACACTCACTATGGGTGAAGATCCATGGCACACTCACTATGGGTGAAGATCCATGGCACACTCACTATGGGTGAAGATCCATGGCACACTCACTATGAGTGAAGATCCATGGTACACTCACTACGGTGAAGATCCATGGCACACTCACCATGAGTGAAGATCCATGGCACACTCACTATGGGTGAAGATCCATGGCACACTCACTATGGGTGAAGATCCATGGCACACTCACTATGAGTGAAGATCCATGGTACACTCACTACGGTGAAGATCCATGGTACACTCACTACGGTGAAGATCCATGGCACACTCACCATGAGTGAAGATCCATGGCACACTCACTATGGGTGAAGATCCATGGCACACTCACTATGGGTGAAGATCCATGGTACACTCACTACGGTGAAGATCCATGGCACACTCACCATGAGTGAAGATCCATGGCACACTCACTATGGGTGAAGATCCATGGCACACTCACTATGGGTGAAGATTTATGGCACATTCACCATGGGTAAAGATCCATGACACACTCACCACGGTCCTTTATTTTTATAGATACAGTTGGCAACAATAATAAAAAGATAACTAACAAAAGCAAGTATTTATTTCTATCCCTTCATTGAATTACTCAGTGTTTACAACAATAGAATAGGAAAACAGAACTTAATGTGTCAGCACCGAGTGAGTGGGCAGATAGTTACAGCAATAGAACAGGAACATTTATTCTTACATACATAACTGGGAACAACTACATTCACAAAACTATTTTAAGTAAGTAACATATACCTAGAAATGGCTCTAGTATTTAAAGGCATCTGTTTCCTCAATTCCTGTAAATGCTGTGTCACGTCTCTCCTACACAATATTCCGCAGAGTGAATGGCTGGAGATGCTTGGCTATATCTAATCGTTGCTCTCATGGATAGGAGCACTTATATGCTCTCACAAGCCAGATTCACAGAGAAAGAGCAAATATGCAGCTGCCCTCTTCCCAATACAGTTAAACCTCTGCATTAGGGAGATATGATGAATTCTGTTTTAAAATCCTCACCTTTAGCTAAATGATAGCTGGCCTTAACTAACTAGAGCCATTTACCAAAAACCCAATATTTTTATTCCCATAATGCTCTTCTTTGATATTAACTAATATGGTATCACAACCTTCTACATCTGTTCTCAGCAGTGATATCAGGATATTTACTAAAATGAGAATTCAAAGTGAATTTAAAGTAAATTTCAAAATGTAGTCAAAGGTGCCAAATGTAAAGTATTTTGAAAATTTTGACTATTTTGGCCTTAAATTTTAAATTCTCTTTCCATTAACTTTAATTTCTCATATTAGTAAATGACCCAGTTGTCTTAATTTGATCTCTGATGTTATTTCTGATGGTCCCCTAGATGCTCTTGACTCAGTCCCTCACCTGCTGTATAACCAATATATAAGTTACACTTCCATGTTAGCAATGTCAGTTTTATTCCAAATGTGGATGGCATTAATTTACAAAAGTGCTTCCACTAGACAAATCAAGTCTGGATCTCCAGCTGTAAGGGGCACCCTGTCACAGCACAGGTTGGCAGGGAATTCAAAGAGATCTCCCTGACCATCCCTGCAACCCCTGTTTGCTGTGAGGGAGCATGTAATCTGCCTCTTGGGTGAGGGAAGACCATGATTATGGTCACCAAACCAGTAATAGCTTATTCAGTGACCACAAGGTTGACCCTACCAGAAAACCAGGGAGCATGACCAGTGCCCACAGGACCATATGAAAATTGGTGTCATAGCATGGTTCCTGCAGTGTGTGGGGAGGCTGGGCACAACAAATGCAGTCCACTACAAGCATCAAACAAGCTCCGACACCTCATATCACACAGTCACCACACATACATTACACAGTGCCACAACACATAGCACATATAACCACACCAAACACAGCAGTCACCCACATGTCACACACAGCCACAGCACACAAACCCACCACACATAGCCACTTACACATTACACAGAGCCACAATATAAGCCACATACAATGGCAGCACACACAGCAGCCCAAAACATACATTACACAGTGCCACAACACATAGCACATATAACCACACCAAACACAACAGTCACCCACATGTCACACACAGCCACATCACACAAACTCACCACACATAGCCACTTACACATTACACAGAGCCACAGTATAAGCCACATACAATGGCAGCACACACAGCAGCCCAAAACATACATTACACAGTGCCACAACACATAGCACATATAACCACACCAAACACAGCAGTCACCCACATGTCACACACAGCCACAGCACACAAACCCACCACACATAGCCACTTACACATTACACAGAGCCACAATATAAGCCACATACAATGGCAGCACACACAGCAGCCCAAAACATACATAACACAGTCATCCACACACAGTAAACATATACACACATATACACAATCATCCTTTCCAAAAACAGTCACCACCTAAAGCAAACACACAGCAACCCCCCCACCACCACAAATGTTCACATACGTATACACAGTAACACTTTACAGAAATACTCAACACCCCACACACACGTAGCCAGCCCCAATACGCACACACAACACAACAAGCAATATACACTGCCTTTCCATAGACACAACACAACTGGAAGCCTCCTCACATTTATTTTGCTTTACACACTCTTCCACACTCACTCATTGCAGACACTACACACAGTGAGCTAGCTAGTAATATGAAAACCCAAAGGAGAGCGGAAATAGCAGCAAAGAGAAAGAAAGCTCAAAGACAAAAAGAGACGGAGGGTTAATGTGGGATAAATGGGGGAAGGCAAACTGTTTTTTTTTTTGCCTAGGCTGATAAGTAAAATCCCACTTCCTGTATGTAGAAATATAAACTAACCAATTCATTCCACTGGCCCTAAATTGCTTACATTGTATTTCTACATACAGGAAGTGGGATATTATTGTAATTGACACACTTCCCCATGATGAAATGTATCCCTGTATTGCTTTAATTTCTGCTTTAAACAATTCATTGAGCAATAAATGTTGCTCTAACTTAAACAGGTAATGTAAAAAATAAAGCTCACAGATGGCATTACACACACTGTGTTCTTAGACAATGTATGTAAACATATTAGGCATTTGCTTTTTATTTTTCACTTTTTTGTGTATCTGTGTGAGTGTGTGTATCTGAGTGTATGTGCCAGTGTGTGTATCTGAGTGTATGTGCCAGTGTGTGTATCTGAGGTTTTTTCTTTTTTAATGTGTGTATCTATGTATCTGAATGTGTGTGTAAGCGCTAGTGTTTCTATCTGTGTGTCTGTGTGTCAAGGTGTTCATTCTTGTTTAGTGGCTGCGTGTGGGGAGGTGGGGGAGGTGCAGGCATGGGTGGAGGTGGTGAAGCCACCTCCCTGAAATGCATTTTTGCATGTTGGGGTGTCTGACAGTGTAATTGGATGCATCTGTGCTCTGTGAGTGAACAGGTTTACAGCATTAGACCCATCCTGTTTGCACAATACTAGTGAGGTTCTAATTATTGCAGCTAACTGTAAGACGGTTCCTTTTTGAAGGTTTTAGCAGCATTTCACACCATTGCTTTGCACAAAACACTCATTGGATGCCAGACTGAATACATTGACATATCAACTTTATTTTGGATAGAATACAAGATAATGATTGTGATACCAGCAGCTCGGATGAACTGCTAACAGGTTTGTACAGTTAGTTTTATATGTGTATTTGAATTAAATAGAACTGAAAGGAGTACTAGCACTTTACAGGGATTATTGCACTAGACTAGAGAGTTGAAAATGTAGACTTCACAACTAATTGTTTACATATGGAGTACACACAATTTAACGAAGTTCTACATTTAAAAAACAAAAAAACTGTGCCATGATTGATGATTGCTATATACTGAATAAAATGGATCTTCGCAGCTGGAAACACATGGGTATACAAGTTGCAGATTATATCTTTTTTGGAATGTTGCACTCCTCTGATCAGTAAATTCAGGCCATCTTAATTGGTCCCTTTGTCACATCTAAAGAAGAGACCCTAGAAGCTTGCAAATAATACCCTCTAGTATCTACGTTAACCAATAAAGATTGCACTTTTGCATCAGACGATTGTTAGATATTGATTCAAATTTCAGGCATCATCATGAAAACGTATTGTCCTAGGATAAAAAAGTAAAGTTAGCACAAAATAAAGCACAATATAAATACCACATATTTTATGTAACACCCTGATCTTACCAGAGTTTTTTTTTATATTTTACATAAAATGGAAACATTCTGCAGACTTAAAGACTCACTGTAAAATGAGCTATGAGTGTCACGTTAAAAGGCAGGTGTGGGTTACGTGTAGACCTACTCTGTTACAGTTTATGAATAAAAGTTGCACTACAGAGTATATTACTTTATACAGTGCATTATAAATAAAATGTGGCGTATGTTTTAAGAGGTATCCCTGGGGCTGGAAATCGTTCTATGCTGTCATCTTCCACCAATAAGAATCAAAGGTGCCCTGTAATGGTTACACTGAATATACATCAAATATACTTGACAAAATATTTTGTATATGTAAGATACAAATAATACTAGCTGAAGCTTTAAAGGGACCCTATAGTCACCAGAACAACTACAGCTTATTGAATTTGTTCTGGTAAGGAGAATCATTACCTTCAGGCTTTTTGCTGTAAACACTGTCTTTTCTGAGAAAATGCAGTGTTTACATTACAGCCTAGTAATAACTTCACTGGCCACTCCTCAGATAGCTGTTAGAGATCCTTCCTGGGTCATGGCTGCCTAAAATGCATCCAAACATTCAGTATCTCCTCCCTCTGCATGCAGACACTGAACTTTGAGGAGATGCTGATTGGCCAGGGCTGTGTTCTGCCCCTGATCTGCCTCCTTGTCAGTCTCAGCCAATCCTATGGGGAAGTGATTGGATCAGCAGGCAGTGAGCAGGTCTAAAGAAAACAGTGACAAAGCCAGCAGCTTCAGACTTGAATACAAGTAAGATTTTACTATTTTTAGGAAGGCATGAGGGGCTCAGGGTGGCTAGATGGTGGTTTTAACCCTATAGGGTCAGGAATACATGTTTGTGTTCCTGACCCTATAGTGCTCATTTAATCAGTTTACTTATTATATATATCCTAAAGCCTTTTTCTACTATATTATTTTACATACCTGTAACGGTTCACCATTACATTATCTTGATCACTTCTCCTGTGTATGGTTTTCTCTCGACAGGCACTGGTTGGCAAACCTGCACAAGTACATTTATTGTCATATGTGCTACAGACTTCATGATTTTCTATACCACAAAGGCTTTATGGGTCACATGACAGACACTGCAGATTTCTGATATGGAGCAATACCGTATACCACAAATATCTGACTTTGAACAGAAAGAATTTACCAGTTATAAATAGTTCAAGTTGTTTCCCATAATAATGCAAATTTTTCATTTCTGATTTTGAGTGATTATGTCAGTTCCCATGGTGAAAAGTGGTGTGAGGGAGTATATCTGTCAATTAAGGTGTTCTTTATTGATGAACATAATGTTCTTTTGAGGATATAGACATTTGTCTGTTGTATAAACAAGTAGTCTTGCAAGCATCAGATGCTGATAGCCTTCTGTTGCTACATATTAAAATCAATTCAGTTATTTAGAAATGCAGCTTAAGTGGTGCACATTTGTTATATTAATAGGCATCATAATCACTACAGCGCATTCTAAAGATTATGGTGCAATGGGTTTTTTGACACTACCCACTGTTTTTCAGTCAATCAAGGAGGTTAAAGCCCAAGTCCTCTGCAGTGTGCAGATTTAAAAGTTATACACTATCTGTCTTGGGCATCCATCAATCTTGGCCCCCAGCAGTATCGGACCAGGTTGGGCAAAATCTCATCTGGTATTGCAGAAGTGCAGTTTCCACATTAGCTTTGCAACAAAGAGCTGACTATGCTGTATTTGGGAGAGGCTATTTAGATCTTTCCAAAAAGGTTTGAGAAAATACTGGGAGCCTGGGGCCTTTAGCGTCATAACCGCTATAATCAGCCGTACTAATTATATCGATTAGCATTCCACTGTATCATCCTCTTGGCAGTCATTTCTGACCCTTCCTGCAAACTTGGCTAGCTGGAGGAGGGGTTGGACAGAGTTCTTTATTTCATTTTGGAGATTGGAGATTGGAGATTTGGGCTGCAATCTCACACAACCAATCCTCTGCTGAGGAGTGTTCATGGTGTCTATTGGCATCTTCGATAAACACATTTTCCTGATTTCTCACAAGTAGACTTTCTAGAGCTGCACTCATTACCTCCCTTCTCTCTGCTGATAAAGATGAACAGCAGGGTATGAGAATAAAGTGTGTTTATTTTGTTTGTCTAAATAACTAGTATTGGATTGTTAAATTGTGCAGCAGAGTACTGTAATTCATTTAAAATGACCGGTTAGAATAAGTAATTGCAGAGTATAGAGTTTTGGAATATCCTGTCCTGTTAGACAAGAATGTAAATAAATATATACTATAAAATGTAATTTTATACCGTTAATTAAAATATTAATTATTGTTACGGCCAGTATAGTTAACAAAAAAGACCAATATTTTCTTATGTAACAAAACAATCACCCATTCCTGTCTAGTTAATGAATTCATGAAAAATGAGTGATTCAATGTTTGCTTGTTCTAACAGCAAAATTACACAGACTCATTCGGAGAATTAAAACATCATTATAATTGGATTCTGTGAAATAATGTTCCTTGAATAATTCTGTGGTTTTGATCTACTCATAACTTCCTTATCCATGCAGCAAAGTTTGATTATGAGAGATTGTTGAGAACCTCTTATCTTCAGCTATGTACTGGAAGCAGAAGTGGTAGGCCCCCTATTTAGGTCTGGAGTTCCAGCTCTCTCTGTGAGGGGGGCCCTCGTTTAGGTAGCAGAGAGATAAAAATATCTCCATGCTCAGCCCTGTCTCACCTGTTTGAAGGACCTTGTGTTCTGTATGTGGTACGCGCCCTCCTGGCCCCCAAGCACTTCTTGAAGATTCAGAATGCTAAATCCAAAACTCTGAGTCATTCACTGAGTACTGGAAAATGAGGCCATAGTAAGCTCATTTAAATAGAAAATATTGTAGATGTATAGATGAACTATGTCTATAGTGTATGGTCCACTGGAATTCACGTATTTGTTTTTGACAAGTAAAGTATTAATGCAAGGCACACTGAATTTATTATTGCAAGGATTTTCTAACAATATACAATCATTTGGAAAGCTTATTAAATTGAGGTCACACTTTGTTACAGATTTCACTGTGTTTACTTACTTCATCTCTTTGAAGAATCCGACGGTAGACATAATCAGAAAAAGGTTTCCGTGGAATGTACTTTCCATGTCCTGGCACAGCATGCAAGACCCCATTTTCATACACAACTCTTCCTCCAGCTATGGTCACCAAAGGTACGCCATGACAAACCATTCCCTCAAAAATGTTGAAGTTCACAGCCTGATGGTGGGTCTTGGCAGAAATAGTCCTGTAAAGTAAGATGGTGATGTGCATTGTCAGATATGGTCAATACGCTTGACAGCATGTGTTTAAACTTGGAACATGTTATATGAATAAGTCTTGAAACTTTATACATTTGTTTTCATATAAGACACACTGGAATTTAAGACACATCTATATATTTTAACTAGAAATTTGGGAAAAATTTACCATAATTGCAGTAATTTCAGCTAATGTGTATGGGGGATGTATTGAGTGTGTGTCTACAGGGGATGTTAAATGTGTGTAAGGGAAGCAGTGTGTGTGAATTTGTGGGGTGGGATAAATGGTAGGAACCGTGGGGGTGAGAGAAGTAGCTTTATATTTTTTAATTATTACTTTTTTTAGCTTTATTTGTTGTTATTCCCATCCCTCCATGCCTCTTAGCTCTGGCCAGGGAATGGGGACACCACATTCCCTGGTGGTACTGTAGAGGCTTCAGTTTGCACCTCTGCTGGGTGTTGTGGTGGAGTGTTGCCATGGTAACCCATAGCAAACTTCTGATAGGACGGGCTTGCGAAGGAGAGGACCCAGTGAAAGTGCAGACAGAGAGTTTACCAGGCTCCTCCCTCTTCAAGTATAGAAGCCTGCAATGGCCTGGGTAAGGAGATCTTTGCACGTTTCGGTGCTATGAGAGATGCACCTACGTTAGCCCCTGACGAAGGTGCATCTCACATAGCACCGAAACGGGCATCGGGCGTTTGCTTTTTTCTTAGGTTATGAGCACTGGGCACAGCACTTTTTGCCTAACACTTTTTTTGTTTATCATGTGGTTATAATTATTACTATTTTTTCTATCCTTTATTGCTCCTATGTCTGTCTAGTTAGTTTAACAGGGAGAGAGGTTTTTTAATTTTACCACCAGCTTGTTTTTTAAGCTGGCTTCTGATCTTGTATCCTCTACTCTCTATTCACTAACATTCCTGACTATGCTTCCTCTTTTCCTTTGAGCTATCTTAACAGTGTATGAAGATACACATATGAATGTGGGATATTCCCTATAAGGAGGGATTTTTTTGAGTATATCACATGAGATAAGGTATCCGGGTTGTTTCATTTATATTAAGAGTCATCTTTAATAAAGCTCACATTATACATTTTAAACTATACCTATATACTAATAGGCCGGACGGCGATATACTTTTAGGACTATACATTACGAGGTGGTTATTTAATTTTTATTATTTATTCACCATTATCTTTATCAGATTTTCTTGATATATACTAGATAATCTGACATTAGGCATTTTGTATACTTTTATATGTGATAGGACTGTTCATATGGCCAGGTGATACATTGTTTTATCACACTTTTGTTGGTGTGATTACATGTATCTACTTTCTTTCCTTTTTGCATATAATAGGCACATGGCCAGGGGCGGAACGAGGGCCCGTGGCAAACAGGGGCCCAGAGCTGCTGTGGCTGGGCAGGGGAGATCAGAGGATCTCCCCAATCAGCCCAGTGTTAAAAAAGGCAGCAATGCAGTGTGATACCAGCAGGAACCTCTCTGTACCTAGTCTCTGATATACTTCCCCAGCGGGAGAGCTCTACATTTGTATTAGAGGAGGGGAATTTCCTCCTCCCTCAGCCCATCCCCTCTGTGGAGTCAAAGGTAAACCCCTACAGGCCCCTGTAAGCTTCTCCTACGTGCAGCACCTAAGCTCCACCCCCAGCTCCAACCCGGCCATGCTGTAAGGAACAGCCTGTGTTCCAGGCTTCCAGCTCTGTATCCACAGCAGCAAAGGGTGAGTGACAGCGTGATCTTGTGTGTAGTGAGCCTGTGTGTGTGTGAGCATGTGTGTGTCAGTGAGTCTGTGTTTAATGAGCTTGTGTGTGCTTAGTGAGCTTGGGTTTGTGTTTGGTGAGCTTGTGTTTAGTGGACTTGTGTGTGTGTGTGTGTGTCACTGAGTGTGTGTGGTGTTTGGTGAGCTTGTGTTTAGTGAATGTGTGTGTGTGTGTTCAGGGCCGGCCTTTGGGGTAAAAAAAAAAAATACAAACCATTGTGGTGGGGGCGGGGCTAAATGATGGTGGGGCGGGACTAGAATTGCTGGGTAATTGCTGCATGGGAAGCAGGAAGGAGTCCCTGCTTCCCCAACAACCAGAATCCAGGAGCTGCACTACTTCCACCTCCATAATGAACATAGGTATGACTGTCTGTCTGTTTGTGGCTGTCTGCATGTGTGTGAGACTGTCTGCCTGTGTGTGTGACTGTGTGTGTGTGTGTGTGACTGTCTGCCTGTGTGTGTATGTGAGACTGTCTTCCTGTGTGTGTGTGTGACTTTCTGCCTGTGTGTGTGTGTGTGTGTCTGTCTGCATGTGTGTGTGTGGCTGTCTGCCTGTGTGCGTGTGGCTGTCTACCTGTGTGTGTGTGTGTGCGTGACTGTCTGCGTGACTGTCTGCCTCTGTGTGTGTGTGTGTGGCTGTCTGCATGTAATGGTGTGTGTGTGACAATGTATGTTGGCTGTATGTACGTGACGGTCCATCTGTACCTGTATGTGTTTGTAATTGTCTGCCTGTAACTGTGTGTGTGTGACTGTCTGCCTGTTACTCTGTGTGTATGTGTGTGTAATGAATATTTATTTTTAAATCATTATTAATTTAATAAATCCCCTATACACTCACTACACTTCTATACACACACTATACATGTATGAAAGGTGAGAGATGTTTCTCACAGGGTGCCTAAAGGCCTAAGGCCAGCCCTGTGTGTGTCAGTGAGCTGTCCATAGTGAGCTGTGTGGGTTTGTGTGTAGTTAGAGGTTTGTAGTGAGCTTGGATATGTCAACAAGCTTTCTGTAGTGAGCTTGGTGTGCATAGTGAGTGGTGTGTAGTGATTATTTCTATAGTGATCTTGAATGTCTGTTGTGAACTTGTGTGAAGTCAGCTGTGTGTAGTGAGCTTGAATGTCTGTGGGTGAGCTTGTCTGTAGTGATTTTTCAGAAGTAAGCTTGTGTGTCTGTGAGTGAGCTTATGAATGTGTCAGTGAGCTTGTGGGTAGTGACATTGTGTACATGTCAGTGAGCGGTGTGTAGAGAATCAACAGTTTGAATAATCATAAAAAAATAAAATAATAATAATAATATATATATATATATATATATATATATCTCAAGGAGCCCAAGAGGTAATTTTGCCCAGGGGCCCAGAAGGCTGTCAGTCCATCCCTGCACATGGCTCTGAAACTCTCCCTACAGGGTTCATTAATGATGCTCTATATAGGTTCTTTTTTAACAGACAGATGAACAGATTGACATACATGAATTTGATTCCTTACTAAGGCTTCCAATCATTTAGTTATATACATGATAATATACTATATAATATGATACTAAACTTACTTGCTTTAACTGAAACTTGTCTCTCTCCTTCTGACACAGCTACCCCTGCCTCATTATCCTATGGTGGCCTACAGTTTAAGCACAATCCAAGACAGTCTGACAGTAAAGGTGGCAGTGTAGGGTTTCTGCCTCATCCCATCCTTTCAAGCCCACTGTCTTGGTGTTACTTTTGATCCTGGCCTCACCTTTGCACCTCATGTCCAGTTTGTTGCTAAAACCTGTCGATTCCAACTTAAATACATTGCCTGCATACGTCCCTATCTTACGCAAGATGCTGCCAAGGAGCTTTTTCATGCTCTACTAATCTCTTGCATCGATTACTGTAATTCTCTCCAATTTTTCTCCCCAGAAGCCGTACTGCCCTCCTACAGTCTGTGGATAATGCTTCTGCCATGTTGGTCTTTCTATCCTGTTGCTCCTCCCATACCTCACCCCTCTGTCGATCCTTACACTGGCTTCCTGTACCCTACAGGTGTCAATTTAAAATACTAACCCTTACCTATCAAGCTCTAATCAACTCTTACATTTCTTCACTGATTCATATGTATGCCCTCTCTCAGTCTCTCCGCTCTACTGGTGACCTTCTCCTGTCTGTTGCTCGCACCCTTACTGCAAAGTCACGCCTGCAAGACTTCTCACAGGTGGCTCCTTTCCTTTGGAACAGCCTGCCTACCACTGTCAGACTCGCCCCTAGTCTTCAATCCTTTAAGAAATCCCTCAAAACCCATCTTTTCAGGATTGCTTATGAGTAACTTTTATCTCTCAAACCTTCCTCCCGCTCTCTCCTATAGGGCCACACTCCACTCTCACCTTCAGATCTGCCACTTTCCCACCATGTCTATTTGCTGTCTCTCTCAATACCCTTCCTATTGTGTTTTTATACCCCCCTCCTCTAGACTGTAAGCTTGTTTGAGTAGGGTCCTCAACTACCTATTGTTCCTGTTACATTTTGTTTTTGTCTCATTTGGTAAATTCCCCTTTTATTGTAAAGCACCACGGAATAAGCTGGCGCCATATAAATAATAACCATTAATAATAATAATAATAATAATAATAGTTTGAAATTTAATGCTTATGACTACATTGTTTTATATGCTTTCTGAGTTTCTTCTTCAAAAACTAACAAAGAAACAAACTTGCTACACCCCATATTATTTAGGTCAGTAAAATAAGTACGTTATGTGTCAGGTTCAGTTTTGTTTTAACTATATGGTTTCCTAGACAACAGAATAAAGTGTATTTGTTTGTATTCTATTTCTTTGAAATGCTGCAGAACGTTCAGATATTTAACTGGGTTAATGTAGTTTTGCAAAGCCTATTTTGTATTTTCAATTTTAGTTCAGTTTTGACGTCGCTCATTTTGCCTGCAACCTTTTCCGAGTATTCAAACTGTTTGAAGGGATTATTGCCATTTTAAACACATTCAGTGGTGTTAAATTCTGAAATTTACGAGCCACATACTATATCCTGTTCTCTGGATAGAGATGCCAGGGGGGAAATACTTGTGTCTATATTGTCACTTCACGATCTAGCTTACTGATCCTAAGAGACAGGTGGCACAACTTAGAGATGCTCAACGAACAGCTTAGTAAGTTCAAGTGTTTTTTTTATACAATGCTAGTAGAACCAGCACTCTAACTAACTTAAAAAGCTTTCAATTTATAATCATTTTAGTAGATATTATGTTCTGGCCTTCAAATTGAAATATGCATCTCTCTTCTGCTGATGTCATGAAGTTATCTAACTGCCTCAATAAAGATCATCGATCTTTGGCTCATACTATTCATGAATTAACAGTCATATGATAATGATAGATTCAGACACTTAACGAAGATTGAAGGACTTTGTCTGCTTAAGATCAAGTGTGCTGTAAAAGTCATCAACGCACAAATCTCTATACATAGGAGCAGAGAAAAAGATAAGCCGTTCAAGGAACACTCCATGCACTATAACCACTATGGCGACCAGTAATGTTTATAAGGGCAGGAGTGCTCTTCTACACTGCCAGAAATCGATTTGATTCATTACCTGGTTTGCCTGGTGGAGCTTCCTGTCTCCACTACTTCAGACAGCTGGAGTCTCTCTGTCTGAGCTCGCAGCTATTGAGTGAGCCCTGCACTGAAAGTCTTAGCTCAGGAGAGCTAATGAAAGTTACAGGTTAGGGGCTTCTGGCTCCATAGTGTGCTGTAATGGTTATGATGATTGGAGTGTTTCTTTAAGATAAGAGCTATTTGAATACATACAGAGAGCAACTAAATTTGAAGAAGGAAGCTTGTGATATAGCAAACAAAGCTTACTGTGATGGCCAGCAGTGTGGTTGGGTCCACATTGGACAAAACTCACACCATTAACGTGCTGGTGTTTATTCCGCATTATTAAAGTGGTTGAAGAGGAGACAAGTGACTCGATTTTGTCAAACCACTCCTAAACAGTTTAACAAAGAACTGGGGTGACTGCATCAGAGACTACGGTTAATATAATATCAACACTGTGCTGTAATGGAACGGTGCTTAGAACGTCCAATTCATTGTGCAGTGCTGTTCTCATGGCAATACTTTAATAGTGAATGGAATGAGATAAAGATACGTAGCTCAGCATTGGCCACATGCACATAATTCAATGTATTTTAATATAGATGCTTTATAAATACAGTAAATGTCCTTGTATTTCATTCATATTTTTCCAACAAACCATCCTTCTTATGACGCGTGTTATATGGCAACAATAGAGGCTACAGCTGCAATTTATCCGTCAAACTCCAAAGGAAAAGTCATAATGACTTAATGAAGAGTGCAAACAACTAGATGCAAGTTTTTATAGATTTGCACACACAACACACCATTAACGTGGCATAGCGAGGAACAATTTTCCTTCATGTTGCCATGGCACCCAGCACTGCAGCACAAGCAAGTTACGGGTGACAAGATTATTACACTTTTCAAATGTTTTTTGTTTTTTTTTTCTCAATTCCGAGAAAACGGCTAAAGGTTATTCTTTGCTAGAATCCAATATATCATGCATCAATGTGCAAAATACAAAAGTTCAATATAGAACTATGAAGATGTTTCTCGGGTCAGGCAAGCAGTATAAACCAGATTTATAGTTTAAAGTGATCAAACTCTGCAAATGCTCAGAAGATTACAGATTTAGGATGCTTTCATCCTAGCAATCAGGTGAACTATTAAGGATCATAGATGCTGCATAGTATATGCTTGAATTGTAAAGCAGGGTGCTAGAAACATTGTCGGTGGAGAACACAGAATTTCACATGATATACATTTATGGCTTAGGCACCAAACTGGAGGGTGTGGAGACATTGCAAATGTATGCTCAAAGTAGCCAAACTGGAATAAAAAAATGCTTCAATACAATATTACAGTCTGTGTGGTTTCAAACCTGCACCACTTGGCATAATACATCAATCCCACCAGGTTCCGTTGTTATGTCACAGGTAAATGTAAAGATAATCTCTGTGAAACTTGGTAATCTATCCTTCATCTATATAAACCACATTAATGTAGACATCTACCCTATCACTAAAAACCCCACAAACCTAAAACAAGTCATAACCAGGATCCTTGCCAGGTGACAGAAAAAACAATAATGTTTTCTTTGTCTTAGTATCTTATTCGTATATTATTATTATTGCCATTTTATGAGAGGGGGGATGTAACTTTAAATAGGACAATTACAAGAAAACTTACAGGAACAATAGGTTGAAGAGGGCCCTGCTCAATCAAGCTTACATTCTATTGGAGGTGGGGTATTAGAAATGTTAGGACAGGAAATTTTAAACAGGGTGGGAGTGAAGCAGAGCTGGAGGAGAGAGTAAAGCACTGTCCTATAGGACAGGTATGTAAGGTAGATTTTACTCTGGGAGGCCATAAGCTTTCCTGAAGAGATGGGTTTTAAGGCCCTTCTTAAAAGATTGAAGACTAGGGGAGAGTCTGATGGCAGTAGGCAAGCTATTCCATAGGAAAGGAGCCGCCCGCGAGAGGTCCTGCAAGCGCGAGTTGGCCGTACGGGTGCGAGCAGTGGTCAGGAGGGGCATACCTATGGATCAATGAAGAGGGGCTAGAATTGTTCAGTGCTTTAAATGTATGGGTTAGCACTTTGAATTGACTCCTATAGGACACAGGGAGCCAATGTAAGGGGTGAGGTGTGAGAGGACCGACTAGAGAGGAAAATCAGTATAGCTGCAGCATTCATTACAGACTTTAGCGGGGCAATACGGCTTTTGGGGAGACCAATCAGGAGAGGGTTACAGTAATCCATGCGGGAAATTACTAGAGGATGGACAAGCTCCTTCGTAGCATCTTGTGTAAGAAAGGGGCGGATGCGGGCTATGTTTTTGAGTTGAAACCTACAGGACTTGGCAACAAACTGGATGTGAGACTCAAAGGTGAGACCAGAGTCAAGTATGACACCAAAACAGCGCGCTTGCAGGGATGGACTTATGTGGATATCACTGACTTGAAGGGAGAGCGAGAGAGGAGGATCAGTATTAGGAGGAGGAAAGACAAGGAGTTCAGTTTTAGAGAGATTGAGTTTCAGAAAGCGTGAGGACATCCAGTCAGAGATGGAAGAAAGGCAAGCAGTGACATGTTGCAGGATGGCGGCGGAGAGGTATATCTGAGTGTCATCAGCGTACAGGTGGTAGTGGAATCCAAAAGAGGCAATAAGTTTACCAAGAGAGGCAGCATAAAGAGAAAATAGAAGGGGACCAAGGACAGAGCCTTGGGGAACTCCAACCGAGACAGGACGAGGGGAGGAGGTATCCTTGGAAAAGGAGACACTGAATGAGCGTTAGGAGAGATAGGAGGAAAACCAAGAGAGGACAGAGTCACAGAGACCAAGCGATTGAAGAGTTTGAAGGAGGAGAGCATGATTAACGGTGTCAAAGGCAGCAGAGAGGTCAAGGAGAATTAATATGGAGTAGTGACCTTTGGATTTAGCGGAGATTAGGTCATTAGTCACTTTGATAAGAGCAGTCTCAGTAGAGTGGAGAGGGCGGAAGCCAGACTGAAGAGGGTCAAGGAGAGAGTTGGAAATAAGGAAGTAAGACACACGGGTAAAGACAAGTCTTTCCAAAAGCTTAGATGAGAAAGGCAGCAGGGATATGGGATGATAGTTAGAGGGGGAGGATGGGTCAAGAGATGTTTTTTTTGCCAGAAGAGTGAGAGCAGTTAAAGATGTGTGTTAGGGTAGGCACAAGACAAGGGGAGAGAGATCTGATGAGGTGAGATGGGACAGGATCGAGCGGGGAAGTGGTGGGGTGAGAGGAATGGAGAAGCGCAGCCACCTCTTGTTCAGGGAGAAAGTCTGGATGGTAGGGAAAGCATGATTTACGTGTGGTAGAGAAAGAGAATGGCAAGGAGGGGAGAATTGTTTCCTTAGCTGTTCAATCTTGTTGGTAAAGTAGCATGCAAAGCTATCAGCTGTAAGGTTAGTTTGGGGGGTGGCCACAGCCGGGCGGAGAAGGGAATTAAAGGTGTCAAAGAGACGTCTGGAATTGCGGGAGCATGAACTAATGAGAGAGGAAAAGTATGACTGTTTGGCAAGGGCAAGGGCTGCGCTGTATGAAAGCAACATGAATCTATAATGGAGAAAGTCTGCTTGGGTGCGGGACTTCCTCCAGGAGCGTTCAGCACAACGGGAGCACCTCTAGCAGCCACCTGAGGAGTGGCCAGTGGCGGTATCCCTAGGCTTTAATGTAAACACTGCCTTTTATCTGAAAAACAATGTTTACTGCAAAAAGCCTGAAGGGACTGACTACTCCTCTGAACAACTACATCAAGCTGTAGTTGTTCTGGTGATTATAATGTTCCTCTGCAAAATCCAACTTGCTGTTTGCAATGCAATATGTATAACTACCTTACTTATGGATATCATTAATACTGACATTAACAAAAATGTTTGAAACTAAACATGAAATGAAAAAACAAAATGACAGAAGATAACATTTTGATTTCAAGTGTATCTAAGCCTAGCTTGTCTGAACAAAAAGATCAGCTGTACAGAATAAGTAATCCATTAGGGGTCTGCAGCAGTATGGCGAACTCCGTACCTGCAACACAATTTTCAGGTTAAGAAAATATAATATTTGTAACATCTGTCAGAGACAATTACTTTCATCTTGTTTAGCAGTCATGTCAAATCCATCAAAACCAGCTAGCGGCTAAGAAAGGGAAAAAATAAACCTGGATACATTTAGAATGCACACAGCATCTTACACTACATTATCAAGTGGTACGGAAGATTACGGCTATAACTCTTTGAGCATTTCTGATTTACTTTTTATTTGCGTTAAACAAGTGTGATGTTGATAACTGGCGTTCTAATTTCCTTCCGTCAATGTTGTGATAATTGTTCAGGGTTGGTTCTGAGATATTAACATGACAATAATGCTCATCAAGAAATTCAAAATGAGTGATTTAAATATTTAATCAAGTCGAGAAAGAGGCAGCTGTGAGCTAGCACTAGAACTCTGCCAGTCATGTGACCTAATTTTACTCCTCGAAAATGCTGAGAAGGGCAGCAAGACTGCATGTTGAGTGACACCAAATGGCAATAAGTTATTGATTTCTTGTGTTGTTTTAAATAATGACCATTGGAATATTTTCAGGAAATACTGATCTTCCAATGTTATCCAGACAATAACGAAAGAGAGGAAAAAGGGGATTTACGATGATATTAAAACCGGTTAAAGAATATGTACATTTATATACACTGTATGTATCGAGATCTCTAGGTATTGTTATATTTAGTATAGTTCAAGATTCATGATATGTATTTCCACAGATGAGTTGTTTCAAACTGTGCTGTGCTCTTGGAAAGATTTGGGTTTGGATATACCTCATCCAGGTAGGCCTGGGAGTCAACTTCAAACAAAAGCCTCCCTGAAAATAAGACATCCCCCAAAAATAAGCCCTAGCCCTAGCTTATTTTTGGGGGATGCTTGTAATAAAAGCCCTACCCCGAAAATAAGCCCTAGTCGGCATTCGGCAATCTATGTTCGGAGAATTTTTCCTAAACATAGGTTCGCGGGATTCCATTCGCGAGTAAGCTAATCTATATTCGGGAAAGTTTCACTGAACATAGGTTCGCGGGATTCCATGCACTATTGAACTGGTCAATGTTCGGGCGGATTTCTACTTTTAACAATCTCTCACGTTAGCGTTTATCCCCATCTTTATCCAGTTTCTGTTTTCCCAACACTTGCAGACTCTTTGTTCATGATTTCTCTGCTCATTCTATGCCATGGATTTTCTCCAGACTGTTTCTCTTTATACCGATAGGGTTATTCACTACAGCGAAAATTGTTGGGAATTCAAAGTGAATTTCTAATTTAAGGACAAAAAAAAACATTCTCCAGATTTAGCTACTTTGACCTAACATTTGAAATTAACTTTTAATTCATTTTGCAGCTCCAACAATTCTCAGTTTAGTTAATAGCCATGTCATTGACTTTTGTCATTTTCTCTTTTTTTTCCCCCTGTCTATTCATTAAAGTTGAAATGTCTGTGTGCTGGGGATGCCGTGTCTGTGTGTGTGTGCTGGGGATATATAATGTGTGTCTGTGTGCTGGAGATGCAGTGTCTGTGTGCTGGGGATGCAATGTCTGTGTGTATGAGCTGGACATATATAATTTGTGTCTGTGTGCTGGGGTTGAATTGTGTCTGTCTGTATGCTGGGGTTATATAACGTGTGTCTGTGTGCCGGGGATGCAGTCTGACTCTGGGGATGAAGTGTGTCTGTCTGTATGCTTGGGTTACATAATGTGTGTATGTGTACTGGGGATGCAGTGTGTCTGTGTGTGCTGGAGATTTAGTGTGTCTGTGTTTGTGCTGGGGATGTTGTGTGTGTGCCTGGGATGTAGTGTGTATGTGTGCAAGGAATGCAGTGTGTCTGTGTGTGCTGGGGATGCAGTGTGATGGTGGGGATGAAGTGTGTCTCTCTGTGTGCTTGGGTTACATAATGTATGTATGTGTGCTGGGGATGCAATGTGTATGTGTGTGCTGGGGATTTAGTCTGTCTGTGTTTGTGCTGGGGATGTTGTGCGTGTGCGCCTGGGATGTAGTTTGTATAGGTGCTGGAAATGCAGTGTGTCTGTGTGTGCTGGAGATGGTGTGTGTGTGTGTGTGAGAGCTGGATATGCAGTGTGTCTGTGTTTGTGTGTGTGCTGGGGATGTAGTGTGTCTGTGTGTCTGCTGGGGATGCAGTGTGTCTGTGTATGATGGGGATGCAGTATGTGCTGGGGATGCAGTGTGTCTGTGTGTGCTGGGGATTCAGTGTGTCTTTGTATGATGGGGATGCAGTGTGTGCTGGGGATGCAGTGTGTCTGTGTGTGCTGGGGATTCAGTGTGTATGTGTATAATGGGGATGCAGTGTGTGCTGGGGATGCAGTGTGTCTGTGTATGATGGGGATGCAGTGTATGATGGGGATGCAATGTGTGCTGGGGATGCAGTGTGTCTGTGTATGATGGGGATGCAGTATGTGCTGGTGATGCAGTGTGTCTGTGTCTGTGTCTGTGTGTGCTGGGGATTTAGTGTGTATGTGTATGATGGGGATGCAGTATGTGCTGGGGATGCAGTGTGTCTGTGTGTGCTGGGGATGCAGTGTGTCTGTGTGTGCTAGGGATTGGATTCTTGTGTGTGCCAATCATGACACTTATCTTTGTTGTATCCATGGTGGTGTGGCTCCTGACTGGAGTGGAGTCTGAACTTCTAAGGGCTTTGCTTCTCATGACCCCATTCCTGCTTGCTCAATTCTGGCTCCTGATTCAATTATGGGGCTCAGTGTCCTGCTGCTTGTGCTGCGCTGTGGCGCTGCGGCAGAGGGACTGAATGGAAAATGCGAAAGCTTCCCCAACTGGTTAGTATTTTGTTAGATAATGACAGGTGTGCAAAATGCCGCCTCTGGGCAAGATGCCGTCTGGAGCCACGGCCCCACTGGACCCTTTGGATGAGCCAGCTATGTATACACACATACTGCCTGATACATAAATCAATACACCCATACTGAATAAATCCATACACCCATACTGCCTAATACATACATTTTACATTGAATACATAATTTATAGCTGTAATAAATTATGTATTTAATTTCTTTGGTGCTATTTAATTTAAAATATTGTGGCATTTAATGTTTTATAATAATGGTGGTATTTAATTTATGTTACAGTGAATCTGTCTGGACATGAGACAGGTATAACCACCAGGGCTGCATGTTAAAGGGCCCATCAGGTGTCCCATGCTGTTAGGGCCACCCGATGGCTATAGATTTCCAGTGGGCCCGGTCAGTGCTGCGGCGCTTTAACAGAGCGACCGGGCCCCCTTTGATGACATCACAGCTGGGAGGAAGTGACTGCCACGTCACTCCTCCCAGCTTACAACGGGAGTTGCGTGGGAGGAAGAGAGGAGGGAGTCAGAGTGGGAATGCTGACTCCCATCAGGGTGCCCAGGGAAGTCACCCTCATGCTTCTAAAAGGTAGGAAAGAGAAGGGTGACTAAAATAGTTTGTATAAGTGTGTGTTTGTTTGTATGTATGTATGTGTGTCTGTATGAATGTTTATCTGTATGTTTGTCTGTATGTGTGTGTATATATATATATGTGTGTGGGTGTCTGTCTGTCTGTCTGTCTGTGTGTGTATGTATTTGTGTGTATGTCTGTTACCGGGTTCCTGTTGCCATGTGTTGCGTCCCTGGCCCGTGCTGTGTAACCACCGGGGGGGGGGGGGCACAGATCAGTTTTAGCACCGGGGCCCCATGGATCGTGTGTACACCACTGGTTTAGAGAGTTATGATGATGTTCCAGAAGAAGATGACATTATTGTCTTGGAATAAATGCTTTTTGCACATTTATTGTTGTACTGTACATTAAAAATAAGACATTACCTGAAAATAAGCCCTAGTGTATTTTTTTGAAGCAAAAATTAATTGTCTTATTTTCGGGGAAACATGGTAGCACATTATCACATCATGCTCCACTCACTTAATTTTATATTAGATAACTGGATTAAACGAATATATATACATGAATTATTTAGCATTGTGCTGGGCAGATGCCCCTAAACGTCTCTGTGGCAGCTCTCACATGTTGCTCATTTATATAGCCAGTGGGTAGTTTTGCTAAATTGCCTATGTGATATTTTTTATTTGCAGCTCATGTTTAATACAATCAGTTGGATAGATTTAGTTACAAAATAACACAGTGTCAATCAGTTTGGTGAAAAAAGATACAGCATTGAGAAAGTCACTCTCTGCATTTGCTCTTGAAGAAGATGGCAAAACATATCCAAAACAGTTTGTATGCCAATTCCGATTTCCCTATTCTAACACAGATATAAAGCTTACGACACGTACTGATTAAATGAATAGCCATGGAACTATCCTGTTACACTCTGTACACTCTGGCAAAAAACCCAGTTTGAAGCACAATTTTGCAACAAGCTAGGGAAAAAAATCCTTCTTGACCCCAGAATGGCAGTCAGATTTATCCTTGGATCAAGCAGTTATTACCCTACATTGAAAGATTATATCCTTGAATATTCTGTTTTTGCAAGTATGCATCTAGTTGCTGTTTGAACATCTATATGGACTCTGATAAAACCACTTCTTCAGGCAGAGAATTCCACATCCGTATTGTTCTTACAGTAAAAAAAACACCTTTCCTTTGCCTTAGACGAAATCTTCTTTCTTCCAGTCTAAACGCATGACCTCGTGTCCTATGTCAGCAGACTGCTTGTTTTTCTGAGTCTAACAGCATGCAGATTTACAGCTTCAGGCTTGAATACAGTAAGATTTTTACTATATTTATGGAGCCATGAGTGGCTCAGGGGGCTAGATGGTGGTGTTAACACTATAGGGTCAGGAATACATGTTTGTGTTCCTGACCCTATAGTGATCCTTTAATTTTCTTCCTCAAGCAATATTCTATCTCTATGTACTACGATAGCTATATATATATAGATGGCAAAACATATCAAAACAGTTTGTATGCCATTTCCGATTTTCCCTACTCTAACACAGATATAACGCTTACGACACGTACTGATTAAATGAATAGCCATGGAACTATCCTGTTACACTCTGTACCCAAATGACTGTTGATTTATTTGACAAATATATATATATATATATATATATATATATATATTTATATATATATGTACTAACCCACGCAACGTTTCCTTTCTGTAACACTTAATTTTACAATGAAAACTTAATAAACACAGAATGTTTAAAAAAATAAATAAATACAAATCTGAAGATAATTTAATTTTCTTCCTCAAGCAATATTCTAGCTGAATGTACTACGATAGCTATAACCATTGCACCAATGTTTCTAGAAAGTATCCTGCTTTCTTTGGAAGGTATCAGTTGAGCTCAACTCCACATCTCAACTACTCTTACTGGCTGTGCCATCTGCAGTGTTATATTTGTAAAAAGATTTCCACTGCGTAAATAGACCTTGGCGACTGGATAGCAATTGAGAAATGGGATTTTTGGGACAAGACCAAAGACGATAGCAACATTTCATACATTTTGCATTGATTTTAACAGATAAATATTGTTGATTTATTTCATTGATGGCAGCAAAATGTGTAGAATACTATAATTTTCCATTTCTGCTTTCTGCATAAGATTATAGCATAGGGATCTGCTCGATAAAACAATATATCATTTATGGTTTTGTTAAGTACTGATCACACCTCATGTTGCTGACTCCTGATTTTAGAACATCTCAAATATAGCTAATCTTTGCTGACTCAGGTGCAATTATATAATTAATTCTCAAATGGCGCATTCATTCTATCCTTGAACTATTCTGCCATTTTAATATTCTAGCATTGTTTAGTAATTTTTGGATTTATGCTCCACAGAATTTTGTAGAACTATATTTAAGTACATTTGTGCATTAGTTTTAGCATCAAGATGTCAAATTTTTATAAGATTTATAAACCACAATTCCTACATACTGCCTATTAACTTTAAAAGGGAATCTAAAATTGAATGTTAAATAACCATGTTTAAAGGGACGCTATAGACACTGTAATGTTTTCATCTCATTGAAGTGGTTATAGTGTCTGGAGTTCTCTCATTCATTCATTCAGGGTTAAACCACTTTTAATGTTTTAAAGCTAAACAAGAGTCCTCAGCAGCCCATCCTCTCTTTGCTGCTTAGATTAATAAGGAAGCATTTGCCTGAGCAGCAATGGGTAGCTGTGATTGGTGAAGATTGCCATGTGACCTCTTTCAACCTATCACAGTGCCCATTGCTGGTATGAATTGGTATGACTATTTACATTATACAGCTCATGACAACTCTGTTAGCTAAGGGGTTAATGTCCATATGTGCAGTGTTTCATACTCAAATGTTGCAGATATAAACTGCAGGCACCATCACAACTTCAAATCACTGAAATGTTCATGGTGTTTGGAGTGACCCTTTAAGTTAATCTATTAATGAAATATTAAGGAAATAAATGAATTTCGTTGTTACCTAGTAGCTTCTGGATCCCAAATAACAATATCAGCATCGGAGCCCTTGGCGATTCTCCCCTTTTGTGGATACATGTTAAATATCCTTGCAGCAATAGAACTTGTGACAGCCACATATCTGTTCTCATCCATAATCCCGCTGTGCTGCAATAAAAAGGAAGCAACTGATAATTGAAGCTGTGCGTAAAATACAACAGTATTATCGGAGAATAGCAAGTCAACTATCCTCAAATATCTGACTTAAACCCAACCCTTAAAAGACAAGAAAGTCAAGAAATTTAGATTGGGTCTTAGAAAGAATTGCAACTTAAAAAATTTAAGAAAAAACAAACAAATAAACAAAAACACTGGAACTTCCAGTAGGAACAATAGTTTACAGGAAACAAAGCATTGAAGGTTAATGTTGATGCCAAAATAAATGTCAGTACTCCAGTAGTTAATAGTGAGTCCTTTAAACAGTGCACTAGAAGCAAAAGACTAATTGAGAGAGAGAGAAAAGGAGTATAAAGTCACCTGACCTTAAAATTGCATGGGCTAGATATAAAGACCTCAGACAGAAAAGGTCAGAGAGTGTAATTAGGAGAAAACTGTGTGTTATGTTATGAGAAATACTCAATATCGCAATAGTAAGTCAGGTCATTATATTATCATGTAACCATATATTGGAGGAAAGCACAATTAAAAGCTAGAAACATAGAATGTGACGGCAGATAAGAACCATTCGGCCCATCCAGTCTGCCCAATTTTCTAAATACTTTCATTAGTCCCTAGCCTTATCTTATAGTTAGGATAGCCTTATGCCTATCCCACGCATGCTTAAACTCCTTTACTGTGTTAACCTCTACCACTTCAGCTGGAAGGCTATTCCATGCATCCACTACCCTCTCAGTAAAGTAATACTTCCTGATATTATTTTTAAACCTTTGTCCCTCTAATTTAAGACTATGTCCTCTTGTTGTGGTAGTTTTTCTTTTTTGAAAATATGCTCTCCTCATTTCTATGACTTTATGTGAAAGAGAGCTCAGATAATATCTAATATTTAGACATTTAGGCCTAGCCTGATTCTATTATGTTTCTTAAATGAGGCTGAAGTTACTAAGAGTTTATTCTCTTGTGCGTATTAATAGTGATACATCCATGCTCTTACATATGTTACGCTCAGATGCACATTTGTATTCCTGTTATAACTCCTTTTGACTTGTTCTGTACTTCTCCAAAACCTCAATCAAAAAAGAAAGAGATTGACAAAACAAAAAAAATTACAGTTATGTCTCAGAAGACAATAGGCAATGTAGAAACCTACATTGGGGACAAGAAAAGGCCAACGGTGAGTTGAGGAACTGAACATGAATACATGAATATAGCAGTAGCCAGGATATGAGCCTTTTTCCAGATAACCGCTCCTAGCAAATAAAGGCCCAAATGGTAAAATAACCTGTGACCCAAAGGGATAAGAGACTGATCTGGGGTACTCAGTGTAACATTGCATAGAATATCATAATAAAATGTTGCATAAAAATCATATCCCATTGGGTGTACAAAATATGTCTTCTGAGAGCTATCTGATTGGCTGGGCCATCATTTCAAAGGCTGGCAGAAAATGATGGAAAATGTAATATAACAGCTGGAAGACCCAAACTGGAAACCCCTGAACAATACTGTACTTTGCCTTGCAAAACACATGTCCATTTTAGAATTGAAATCTAGCAGACGGAATCTCGTCCAATACTGCCCTGTCACTAATTATGAAGTATCACCAGTTGTCCTGCCCCTGCATGTGAAGTATTACCTACTGAATACTGAGTCAACTATATCAGACAGTAAAAAAACACTGTATCTAATCAAACACACTAACTCGCAGCTAAGATTAATTGGAAATTATAGATATTTTTGCAATTTTCTATTAATAACAAAATAATATTATAACTAAGTAACTGTCGTGTTTTCTGCTTGATTCCCGCGTTATTCTAATGCAAAGTGTAATCAAATCGACACAAGGCAAAAGGGACTAAATCCCTACGTCGCAACAGTCCCGCAAAAAGATCTTAGCAAAAATCTCAATCTTAAACATTGATCCTGTGAGGCAATGGAACCCAAAACAAATCCCAACCTCGCACCAGTCCTGCATCGATTATGGCATGAACAGTATGTCCACACTAAATAAGTAGCCAAAATCATTCAAGTCCGGTGTCATATTGGCATTGCAAATCTATGACGGTTTGGTGTTGCCCTGGTGATGTCAGATGCTCATGTTATTTAAACTCATTCATCCAGAGATTGTGTGCCATTTTTGTGGTCCTTTTACACCTAAGAGAGTGTTCCTTGTGTTTATTAATTATTTGGTTACTGACTCTGGCTTGTTTGACTACTCTTGTCCTCTGTACTGCTGACTTTGCCTTGTTTCTTGATATTATGTCTTACTGCGCTCCCTGACCATTCTTGTTCATTATTCATTTTAGTCTGTTTTCAAACCTTCTGTTTGCCTAACCTTAATGCCAGCCCGACCACCCTAAGGACCAGCATGCACTTCTACTCTGTCTAGGTATGAATGTTTAGGGTTAGGTCAGCCTTGACAACAACATTGCTAAGAATTATATTCTTACCACTCCTTTTTCCCAAACAACAGACATACGATCCTCAACGCCATTCACTCCATTTGGGATCTTTGTAAAATCATCCTTCCCAAGGGCTTTCTGACAGGTACTAAAAGTACAGTTATCTGTTCCTGTGACACTGAGATCATCACTACGAGAAAAGGGGATCAGTGAGAATTATTTAAAAAAATATAAAGTAAACTTTTGTGTTGCAATGATTATTTCATTTACCTATAATGTGCTACCTTAACCATTAATAATAATGCACAAATATGGAAAATTTCCCTACACATACAGACACGGTTTCCATAATTTTCATCTATTTATATATGAAGTTTTGGATGGTGAAGTTTAAGGATGGTGGGGTGCTACTCCCCCTCTGACTTATTGGGTTCTACCCTTTTAACCCCATGAAATGCCATGAAAACCAGCTGTATCTCCAGTCAATAAAGGATAGAATGGAAACTGCAAATTTAATAATGAAAGACAGATGTTTTTTCTAACACACACTTATCTAGAGAAGGACTAAGATCCCTCATGTTCCAGATGTGCCCTCAATTCCCTTTTTTTTTATGTGTAGATTTGGAATCCAGACCAGATTCCTTTTAGGTTGAGCACCCCACCTATCTACTATATGTGTCCCATCGTAGGTGACCAAAGGAAAGCATACATTTAAGGAGAGTCTCTGAAAGCAGTTTTAAGCAGTAAATGTTGCAGTTAGCAAGTTGGTATTGCATGTTAAAATTAGTGCAGGACCCACCGACATTGGGGTACTATGATGTAAGGGTGGGCTTAACACAATATGGCCATATGGTGGAACTAAATCTCCATATTTTTAATAGCCTTAACCCGTTCCTTAACCTGTATTTAATAGAATAGGTTGTTAAGAATGAAATAAAGCACATAATTTAACCTCCCTCTGTATAACCTTAATTTTTTTTTTTTTTTTTAATTGATACAATGATATTGATCATGGTATAATCAGAGAATATTTCTACTTAGCATTTCATTAAGGAAATCAAGCCCTCCATTGTATGCATGTAATTAAAACAAAGGGTCATGGATTGATTATGATGGAAAATGCTATATTTGTACAGTCACCATGAAAACTAATGGAATGTACTTGTAACTGTACCTATCAGTTTCTCCAACTATGCCCTGATATATGTATAGATTTGCAACGAGTTCAGTGTTCACTCATCTATTTCACCCCATGTCTTACTTAGCAAGTAGGTTCATCAAATATTTTGGAGTGGATGGATCGGGGCGAAGCGGGGGGCCCATGACATGCGCAGCTGCATGACTCCATTCCTTGTGCCAGTAATTTGTTCCATCTGTCCCAAGACCGGCAGCAATGGGCTCTCCAAACACAACCTTCCCTGGGAGAAATGAAAAATAAACGATAACACCATTCGTACTCAAGATAGGTCAGCATCTATCCTCACCTTTTCTAATATTAAAATTACATTTGAAAAGAAATGTCAGCACTTATTCCCACGGTGACAAAAAAGCTAATAATGTATGATGTTTAATGCTGAAAATGCATCTTTGTTGCAAGTGCATTATAAATCTTCAACTGACAGGTTTCCCAAAAGAATGTTCCTCTTCCAGTTAATGAATGCTTTCTTAAACACAAGAGGGTATATTCGCACGGCTGCTATTGTGAATAACTGCTTGTTTAGATTGCATTACTAGATGAAAAGGTTATAACGGTGTAATAATTCAATGTTTTGTATTATGCATCCTAAATTTTGGATTAATTTCTCTGCTGAGGACCATTAAATGCCGTTGGAAAATCAGTTCCCATTTGCAGTAATTATTTTGCATGATTTTAAAAGGTAAAAGGTATTGTGTAACAGATTAAAGAAACTTCAGCACCTGTACATCAGATTTAAACCATTACTTTTTTTTCTTTTTGGTGACAGATAGAGAGAGACAGAGGCATAACTAGAAACAACGGGGCCTCGGTGCGAAAATTGCCCTGCTCCCTCCCCATACTTTTTACATATAGACACAAATGCAGACAAACAGATACACATGCAGATACACACACATACACACATACAGATGCACAGACACAAACATACATACAGACACAAACACACAAACATACAGATACACAGACACTATTATTTTTGTTTTCTTTTTGGTGACAGATAGAGAGAGACAGAGGCACAACTAGAAACAATGCATACAGACACACACATATACATACACACACGACACAAACATACAGACAAACACATACATACAGACACACACATACAGACACACACATACAGACACACATACATACAGATGTACACACACATACATACATACATACAGATACAGACACACACATACATACAGACACACACATACATATACACACAGACACATAAATACAAACACACACAGACACACACATACACACAGACACACACATACATACAAATACACACACATACACACAGCCACATAAATATAAACACATATATACATAAATACAGACACACACACACATACAGACACACACACATACATGCAGACACGTACATACAAACACACATACATACAAACACATACACATATAAACACACAAACACATGCATACAGACTCAAACATACATACAAACACACACATACATACAGACACATACATAAACACACACACACACAGACAGACATACATAATGACACACAAACACACACACACATGCTTAATGTTTTAGTCACCCTCCGGTTTCCTACCTTTTTGGTGCAGGAGGGTGACTTTCCCAGGGGTCCAGTGGCTGGCTCCAGCTGATGGGAGGCAGAGTTCCCACTCTGACTCCCTCCTCTCCTTCCTCCTCCCGCACGACTTTTTATGATAGCTGGTAGGAGTGACCAAGGCAGTCACTTCCTCCCAGTGTCTGACAGTGTCGGACTGGTCGCGCTGTTAAAGCACCACAGCGAGGACCAGGTCAACTGGAAATACTGTGCCATCGGGTGGCCCTAACAGCCCCAGGGCCGCATTACCCTGATCGCAGCGGTCCGCAGGGTGGCCAGGCCCCCGGAGTGACGGGCCAGGTCACAGCTGCGACCACTGCGACCCCGATAGTTTCGCCATTGGGGATAGACAGACCGAGCGACCAACAGACAGACATATATATATTTCTGTGAAAGTGGGGTAAGGTTCACGATGTGTGTTTCTCCAACCTAACTAAGTTAATATTAATATGATATATATCATGGGTAATGATTTTTGGGACTTTGCAGAAGTGGGTGTTATTTATATAGTTGCCATCCATTATCCTCTAGCTGGCTGCACCCATGAATAAAAAGACATATGACCGCCTTGCATGTCTCCTGTGAAAGCAAGCCAGGAGTGCTGGCCCCAAGAGGTCGTGAGATGTGGAGGTTAGGGGTGGCTTACCTTCTCTGCGTGCATTAGCAATGACTTTTGCTGCTGATTTACTCATCACATGGACCACAAAGAGAGGGCAGTTCACAGAGTTAGCGATAGTGATAGCTCTTTGCGTGGCTTCAGCCTCTACCTCTTCTGGGCGACACAGTTCATGGCCTTCAGGGCCAGTGATTCCCAGGGACAGCATTTTTTTAGCACCCTTTAAATCACGAAAAATGAACATTATGAAAAAAATAACTTGATTTTTATAGTGTTTGGAATACAAAACTGTATTCCTAACACTACAGTGTCATTCTGCCTTTGTTCCCCCCTCTGGCCTTGAAAGGGTTAAAAACAAACTTTAAAAATTCACTTGATTCGCACTGGATCGGGCTCCCGCGCCAAGGTCGGTGCAAGGGTGCATGCACAGCGAGCGCCGCATGGGCATTAGGCCTCCCCCATTGGAAATCATTGTCTTCATGCTTTCCTATGGGATATTTCAAGACACTGGACATCCTCATACACAGAGTGAAGGTGTCCAGCATTGTTTCATAGAGTTAATCTCTGTAAAACTGCAGGAAGCGCCTCTAGTGGCTGTCTGGTAGACAACCACTAAAGGCAATAGGAACCCTGCAATGTAAACATTGCAGTTTCTCTTAAATTGCAATGTTTTACATTGTAGGGTTAAGGGGATAGGGACACTGCACCCAGTCTGCACCCAGACTTCATGAGAGTAAGTGGTCTGGATGCCTATAGTGTCCCTTTAATTAAGCCAAGAATGTATAATGTAGTGTGTTCAATTTTTAATATATATATATACATAATTGTGATCTGTGTGTTATGGGAAAGTAATGCCTTTTAAGGGTTCTAAAAACATTATAATAAAACACAGCCAAAGATCTCCAGGACTATTAGTATCTTCATACTATTACATGAATTTTTTCATTGCGGTTAAGTTAGGACTAGCGTTAGAGTTTATTTAATCTTAGGCTAGAGATTTGCACTCCTCTCCTAACAAAAGTCTCACTTTAACATTTTCAGAAACGCTTTTCAAATTATCACAATCTGTTAATAGAGAAATGTCTCAAATGATTTATCTACAAACGTAATGGAGATTTCTGTAGATAAATCATTTGAAAAGTTTTCTAACTGATTGTGATAATTTGAAACCCTTATCCAAAAATATTAAATTGAGGCCAAAGTTGGTTTGGTAGAGGACATACACCAATGAGTGAACCTTGATCATCAGTGACCAAGAGCATGCAGGCAGATTACTCAGTTCTCATAGACTATCTACACCTTTCAGACTGCAGATTCACACTTGATAAGTGGAAGCAATAATACATATTACTGGGGTGATTAAAGGAACACTATAGTCACCTAAACATCTTTAGATTAATGAAGCAGTTTTAGTGTATAGATCATGCCTCTTAAGTTTCACTGCTCAATTCTCTGCCATTTAGGAGTTAAATCACTTTGTTTCTGTTTATGCAGGACTTGCCACACTTCCCCTGGCTCTGATTGACACAGCATGCATAAAAAAACTGGTTTCACTTTCAATCATATGTAATTTACCTTAAAATTTTTATCTCTTGCTCAGTAAATTGAACTTTAAGCACATACAGGAGACTCTTGCAGGGTCTAGCAAGCTATTAATATAGGAGGGGATAAGAAAATCTAAATTAAATAGAACTTGCGATAAAGGAAGAATAAACATTAGATGACTCTTTACAGGAAGTGTTTAGGAAGGCTGTGCAAGTCACATGCAAGGAGGTGTGACTAGGGTTCATAAACAAAGTGATTTTACTCCTAAATGGCAGAGAATTGAGCATTGTGATTGCAGGAGTATAATCTATACACCAAAACTGTTTCATTAAGCTAAAGTTGTTTTTGGTGACTATAGTGTCCCTTTAACCCCTTAAGCACCAAACTTCTGGAATAAAAGGGAATCATGACATGTCACACACGTCATGTGTCCTTAAGGGGTTAAGAAATATGAAGGGTGCCTGGAAGAGCTCTATCTAGGGTAACTGCTCCAAATTTTTTAAAATAAAAGTGCAAACAGCATCAGTATAATCAACAGACTAGTACAATAAACCATGGTAGGTATGGTGCTTAGAATGACAGTTAACTAAATTTACAATTTCATTATATTATCATGTAACCATATATTGGAGGAAAGCACAATTAAAAGGTAGAAACATAGAATGTGACGGTAGATAAGAACCATTCGGCCCATCTAGTCTGCACAATTTTCTAAATACTTTCATTAGTCCCTGGCCTTATCTTACAGCTAGGATAGACTTATACCTATCCCTTGCATGCTTAAACTCCTTTACTGTGTTACTCCATGCATCCACTACCCTCTCAGAAAAGTAATACTTCCTGATTAACTATATGTTGGGACATGATATAATTATACATATATATAAAACCAATTATAACAGGATTGTGTAACTTATTTTTAAATCACTTTTTGTATTTTCATTTTTCCTTACATGATGTTAGGATAGTACATATCCCATTATATTTAAATAACTATTGTTATCATCATTATGTTTAAATATTTTAACTAATATTGCATGTCTTTGTCACAATTTCTCTGACAGTGTAAAACTGACTCCATAAACATCTGATGTGGCAATTTCTTCGTCATATCCGAGGATCTAGGAGTTTTTCAATAGGTACCCAGTAACTGAGAGAACTATAAAACTTGTCAAAACCTAATTTCTGAAAGTAGACACTAGATGTCAGTATTCCCCTGTCTTCTGAATAATGTTTTATTTGCAATTATTCATTTTGTGTTCTACAAGGGAATATTTACCTCTGCAATTAAATCTCCATTTTCTGCGTGCACTTGTGCAATAGCCCCAATATTTTTGCAGCAAGTAAATGCTTGATAGAGTTCAATATCGTGAACCATATACAAATCTTTGTAGGCCATAAACATCTTAAAGGAATTAACTCCTTTGTCTCTTGCGAGAATTCCCATTTCTTCTTTGACCTGTTAAATGATATCATATATTCTGTTATGATAGAGGTATACCATAATTGATCATCAGATGAATTATTAATAAACTAACAGCTGTCAATAAGCTCTTAATGATGGTGACACAATAACAATATAACAAATTGGAATTTTTTGAGAGAACTTTTACCTTTATCAGTTTTGTGAAAGTGTGCCTTACACCCAATCACAATCGTTCCTTACAAGAGTTATCAATACATTAACAGATCCACTAAATTGACTCAAAAAGTCACTGAAAACACTTTTTCAAATAATCAACACCCAAAAATTGTGCATACCACTTCTCCCGAATTGACAAATTTAAGTTTTTACTAACATGTCCCTGCTAATGAATTAAAGGACAAAGAATCGCTGTAAACAGAAAATAACATAGCAAATTCGATAATACAATAAAAATTCTAGTACGTCATTAACCTCATCAATTTAGAGTTTCAATATCGAGATTATTTAGCAATGATGAATGATGTTAAGAACGGTTTTACATCGATAGGGATTTCTAACTTTGTTAACATTACAGGCAGAGGAAGATTATAACATATTTTCATTCGAACACGTTGGAAACACTCTAAATTCAGACTTCCGTTCAGAAAATTGATTGCCTGGATTGAGATTTACTCTTTAAACGGGATTATTAAATAAACTGTGAACTGTAGAGAATTTACAGAATTACAAACTTTAGACCAAAATAGATTTACAAACTTTAGACCAAAATTCTAGAAATGGAAAATTAGTTAAATTGGAGAATTATTCCAATTCAGTCATTTCCGCCTATTAGATGTAATCGCCTTGACTATTCTACACAATTTTCTGCCTATTCAATATAGATAGATAGACAGACATAGTTAAACACGTACAGAATGGGAACTTTAATTTACTGTATGAAACTAATAATGAATGTTTTCCTAGTTCGTGGTAGGTGAGTTAGTCATTAACCTGAAAAGCAGTTGTTCCTATCTAGCAAATGTGTTAGGTTTGGTTAAAATAGCACTTATTATGTTTAAATATGACAAAGAGCATAGCATTTTATCTATACATTGTATTAAATATTGTATTGTATTCAAAGTTGCCCCCTTTCCAATGCTTCTTCTGTCTACTGTAGCCTGATCTGTACCAAAGACCACGAGGCATGTTAACCCCTTAAGGACACAACTTCTGGAATAAAAGGGAATCATGACGGAATATTTCCGTCATGTGTCCTTAAGGGGTTAATCTAGAACAATTTGTTTCCTTCTTATTGACCTGTTTGAGCATCTTCCTTTGAAAGAAAATTGCTATACATTGAGCTAATCAAATTGCTAGCAAATGTATAGGTGAAATGTTATTTAACATTTACATATTTTTAAGTGCGGCTGGTCACTCTAGATAGTGCATGTGGAAAAAGCAAACATCAGGTCAGTATATTTTTTATCCTTTATACGATCTATCACCTAAATTGCCCCTTTGGTGTTCTGTATATGTGAGATACCATATACAGTTGAGTGTAATATTTATTTTCCATTAGACACATGCAAAAATATGTTACAAGAATTCATCTGAATAAAATCCCTTAATCGTCGAAAAGGTAAGAGCGATTCGGAATTTAAAAAATGTCTGCACAAGTCTAGTTTTCCATTAATACTGATCTAGAACACTATGATGAGATCTATAGAAAGTATCTATAGAAAGATCTATAGAGTAAACACAGATAAACACTACTCCCACCACCCATGGAACCAGTCACTCACTGTCTATGAGGCTTGGCAATGACCCATCATGGAGCTTCAAGGGCAAATAATGAGTGTTTCTGGTTAGGGTCATAATACATTTATGATTGGAAGTATCCTAAAAGTCGAAATTCACCACTACAGTAGTTCTTAATTGAGTTATATTTTCACCTTATCGCTCCACCAGGTAACGGCAACATGAAGACTGTAATCACAACAAACTTTAGGATCAGCCCAGCCTCTCCAGGTGTTATAGGCTTCGATAAGAGAGGACCCCTTCCTTGGAATTGCAAAATCAATGATCATTGTTGTGCCACCAGCCACAGCTGCCTGAAAGACAAAGTTATGAACATATTTGATAAGAAAATCTAAGCCCTGATACAGTGATATTAGAAAATAAAACTAAATGAAAATTAATAATACATAAACCGTACATTCTCATATATAATATTACTTTTTTTTAAATTTAAATAATGTTTAATAAGACAGTCATTGGATACAATTAAGTTAAATTAAATTTAAATAAAAAAAATTAAATAAAAATACTGGGAGGTGAAAAAAATCCTTACCTGTCTCCCACATTCCTCTATCTTTTCACATCCTCCATTCTCCCACACCCCCTTCTTGGCTATAGACTCTCACTAGTCATGGTATGGGCTATTAATATTGCAGCAGAGGCTATGAATTAGAGGAGCTTCTCTGATCTTCTCAGTTTTTCAGATTACCCCTTGCCCAGTGGAGGTTTAGTTTTGTTACGTAACTTTTGACTGTAAAGCATTGCTTTCCATTTAAAAGATTACGGTGCCATCAAAAAGTATTTGCCTGCTTCCTGTCTTCCCTTTTTATTTTTGCATATTTGTTACACTGAATGTTTTCAGATTTTCATATATAATGTAATGTGAGACAAAGATAACCCACATAAACACCAAAGTAAGTTTTTATTTTTTTATTTTATTTATTCATGGAAAAAGGTCACCTGACATCAGCAAACTACAGTCTGTCATACTCTCCAAGTGGAGATTCCTTGAAACAGTGGTGAGTCTACCAAGGATTGCCCGATGCACCAAAATGTCTCCAATGCCACAGCAACAGTCTTTGAGCATGCTGGGTATACTACAGGATTTTTTTTTTGCAAACTGCAATACAGTATTAGCTTTTTATGCACTGTAAAATTCAGCTTCTTGGCTGTTACTGTACTTAAATGGATACTCTACGCACCAAACCAACTAGCTTAATGAAGTACTTTTACTGTATAGATCATGTCCCTGCAGTCTCACTGCTCAATTCTCTGCCATTTAAGAGTTAATTCACTTTTGTTTCTGTTTATCAAGCTCTAGCCACACCTCCCCTGGCTGTCACTCACACAGCCTGCATGAAAAAAAAATGGGTCTAATTTTCAGTCAGATGTAACAGTACAGTTTGCTCACTTTAGACATTTTTATCTCCTACTCTGTTAAATGAACTTTAATCACAAAACAGAGAGTCCTGCACGATCCAGCAGGCTATTAACAGAGCAGGGAATACAAAACAAATCTAAATTAAATGGACTGTGCTATAAAGGAGGCTTAAAAATTAGATCTCTTTACAGAAAATGTGCAAGGAGACTGTGTGGGCCACATGCTGGGAGGTGTGACTAAGGCTGCATAAACAAACTGTATCAACTCCTAAATGGCAGAGAATTAAGCAGTGAGACCGCAGGGACATGATTTATGCACGAACACCACTCCATTAAACTAAAGTTGTTTTATTGCTCATAGTGTCAATTTAACGTATGGGGCTTAAGCCCTCAAGTAGACATTATATATTTATTTCTTGTGGGCATTTTTTAGGAATTTGCACTCCCAGAAATGCCATTATTTTCTTTACATAAACCTAAAGAGTGTATTTGACCATATCTATTTATATATTTTTGTCACACCTATGTACACTTCTATCCCTGTGCCAATATTACAGAATAATCATGAAATATCCTCCCCACCCCCAATTTTACTGTAAAAAAGGTTAAAATTTTAAGGTATCCTTCAACAGCAATCTATACTTGTGATGGACCACCTGGCATCCCGACCGGGTGCCTCTGCCAATCGCTGCTTCATAGTAATTATTGAATACCATCAGCACCGCACCAGACACCATAACCACTGTAAACCCCACAAACCGCCGCAGCTTGGTTGGGGTCTCACTGTCCCCCACCCACTCTGGATCCAAGACCAGGATCCAGCTTCCAGTGGGTAGACCTCTCCTAGTCCAGAGAGCTAAGCAGGCTGCTCTTACAAGAGCAAGTGTTGTAATCCAAGGGAGTATAGTGATTATAGCAATCCCAAGAGCTGCAGTGATTATATCTCTCCAATCCCCTAAACATGAGCCTAGACTTCATGAAGGGGTAAAGCGTTCTGATTTATAGGGAGCCACACACGGCCTTTTATGTCAGTCCCCATGCAAGGGGTTTCCTCAAACATATTCCAGGGGCATTCCCACACAAAACAAGATAATCTGTCCCCTGTGCCTGGGAGATAATTGAGTCAGGCACAGAAAACACATTTTAACAACCTTCCGAAAGTACCCCCAAAACACATGGAAACCCCACAAAAATCACCCAGATCGGTTTAGGGGTTTGGGATTTCCATGGAGGTCATAAGCTGACTGATCCGCACACAAGGCTCCTGCCCAAAAGAGTTTCATGAAATCAGGCTCTGCGGTCAGTCTCTTTCAGGAGTTCACAATACAACAGAAATATGAATGCAACCAGTTCGTATGTACACTTAGTCTGTGCTTCTTGTTCAGGAGTGTGTTTCCACTGAAAGCCACTCTTCTCAAGTGAATCCAGCCAAACATATGAAGAGATGAAAGTCCCAGCAGTGTTCACGTCATTGAGTGTCCGATTATAGTTCCATGCACTCGACGACCAAACACCGCTGCATGTGTTCACAGCTAAAGATGGCCGCCGCCATGTGTTCGTCCATATGAACTGTGGCCACCCAGCCGACCGTTTAGAATGTTGCGGTTAGAGCTTGATAACGAGATCGATAGGGTTAACAAGTGACACACTCCACTTCCAGGTGGTCCAACTGTTCAGTAGTTAGTTTGGCTTGCAAACAGCCTAAGTATAATCTGTTCGGTAAATCCTATATACCGAACCAGACAAGGGAAAAGGAATGAACAAAGCCTTTCCATAGTCCTGAACAAAAGTCTAACACATGGGCCATAGTCCTGATGTAAGAGGCTGGCCAGCAGGCCCCTCCAAGAACCCGTGACGAGGTTCAGTTCATCACAATACTCAAAATGACTTTTTACAATTTTATGCTAGCTATGCATTCCATGTTAAAAAAAAACAAAAAAAACTATTAGGTTGCTTTTTATTTTTTCTTACAAATGAAAATATTTTTTTATTGAATGGGTTAATGCCATATATCCATTTCATACACAGTCTTGGCGTGTAACACTGAGTTACATACACTGCAATATTTTACTGTCTATTAATAAAGTAGGAAGCACACTGTGCTATGAGTGGGATTCGGAGGATGTGCCATTGCTTTATATAAATTGTGTTGAGAACACAGCCAGCTTTTTGTAAATAATTTTCCAGCTGCAACGTCTTTTCCCTAGAGGACTGACCGTCTATTATTAGCAGGAGAATTCTGAAGAGAACTGACACTATGATGGGCATGACAAAATACTAAAGCAGTTGTTGCACAAGGCAGCACTCAGTGGTGGAACTACTGAGTTGTGGGCTCCCTTAGGTGGCCCATCCACTTAGGGCAAAACCCAGTAGGCAGGCAAATATGATAAGGGGCCTAGTAGGGAGCTGCGGCCCTTAAGCAGTGTGACTGGGCCCCTTTAATGTTGTCAGCCATTGCTGGAAGGAAGTTACTACAAGTCACTTCCTCCCGGCTTACAGTCCACATGGGCTCAAAGGACAGAGAATGCATAGAGAGGGATGAGGGTGCACACTGCAAACATAGAACCTAAACAGGCTCGGCTACCATCAACAAAAACATAGAATATGAGAACTCTGAGAATGGGCAAAATCTTAAAGAAACTCAATAGCTTGCTCTTTGGTCAATCCCCGCTCAGGTCTCAAAAATGTTTTTGCTCACTTGTGCCATTACAAAGAGAACCTATACCATGTGCATATCAGACTGATTCCACCTGTAAGGGCTGTCTGGAACTGAAATGCCAGCACGTTCTCTCTGCACAAGAGATACTATCAGTGAACTGCAACTAATACCCATCTAGGCACACACGGTCCATGTCTGAATTACCATTTTAACTTGGGGAGAGCCTAAGTTAAGCAAATGCATTACAACAAAACCAGAACTCTAAGAATGGGAAACTCAGTGGCTTGACCTTCAGTTAGACCCCGCTTAGGTCTCAAAAATGTTTTTTACTCACTTGTGTTCTCTCTGCATGAGAGATACAGCAACCCCAGAATATCATGGCCTTCTTATATTCTCATAGTCTCTGTTTTTATTGCAATGTGTTAAATTGGCTCTCCCAAAGTTAAAAGGGTAATCCACACATGGACCCCATGCTCAGTGTGCCTAGAGGGGTAGCAGCCACACTTTTGCGACAAGGCCCCCCCCCCCCAAAAAAAAGCCAAAACACTGATCTGGGGTTGCTGACAATTTAGTTCTGGACTGCCCTTATGGGTAGGATCAGTCTTATATGCAACAATATAGATGCACTCTGAAATGGCACAACTATGTTGAGACCTGAATGGGGATTTACTAAAGGGTAAAGTATTGAGTTTCTCTAAACTTTTGTCCATTTTTAGAGTTCTCATATTCTCTGTTTTTGTCAGACTCCCCCCAGCCTTAACCAGCCCCGGAAGCCACCCTCCTGCACCTCAAATATGTTAATTAAGACGTGTGTCAGTATTTGTGTTTGTCAGTGTCTATTTGTGTGGGTATATGTGTCAGTATGTATGTGTATCTGTATGTATGTGTATATGTGTGTGTGTGTCAGTGTGTGGGTATATATGTGTGTGTGTGTCAGTGTGTGTATCTGTGTGTTAGTGTGTATCTGTGTCACTGCGTGTGTGGCTATATATGTGTATATGCACATAGATCCCAGCATTCACATTCAAACATCAACACTATATACAAACACAGCCCTGCATTCAAAAACCAACACAACATGCAATCATACACAAACACTACATGCAAACACACCCCTGCAATCAAACGGCCACGCTACATTCAACCACACTGTTGCAATCAAACACCAACATAACATACAAAGAAGCTCCTGTATTGAAAAAAATTATATACAAAAACACCCCTGCATTCAGACACGTAAACTACACACAAATACACCCCATCATTCAAACACGAACACTAAATACAAATACACCCCTGCATTCAAACACACTATATGCAGCTACGCCACTGCTTTCAAGTGGCTATACTACGTACAAACACAACTGCATTCAAATGCCAACACTACACACAAACAGACCCCTGCGTTCGCACACAGATACTCCATCAAAAAATGCTTTCATTCAAACATACAAACACTGACCACAAATAAAACACTGCAGAGGATGGCCAAATTGTAGATCCCCAGCTGGCAAAGCATCGTAGAAGATGTATGACAGATAGGAATCTACCTTTTGGTCATCCTTGTGCAAGGGAAGGGGGCAAAAAATGTCTTGCACCTGGGCCTTCGCTACATTAGTTCCACCCCTGGCAGCACTGGAGTTTCCTGTCTGTCACTTGATGGTGAGGATTGAACTTAGTGTGAGGATGTGACGTCATATCCTCATGTTAAGCTCCGCCCTTCGCCTTCGAGTGGCATAGATGATTTTTGGCGCCCAAAAAGTTATTAAGACTCAAAACCGAACTGATGGGCAGCAAACTTCTATTGACTGTCATGGTCCACTATTGGCTGAATTGATGAAACTTTACTTCCTCATTTAAAGATACATTTTCACATCATTGCTGTAATACACAAAATATTTATTTTAGCTGAGCCTGAAGATGGTAGTCGCTGTTTACATTAAATATGGTATTTTGTTTGTTTTAAGTAGTTTAATTCACCTGTGGCACAGACAGTGGCAGTAATAAAATATAGGAGCATAGATACTGTCTTAAAGTGTTTGATAAGGAATTAGTGTTAGTTGTGTGTTTCTGGTCATTTGCCTATTTTCTCTGTATTTACAGCTACTCAATACCCAGTGCAGTTGCATGGATTTATGTTTGTTACTAGATAGTTGATACATATGGTTTGGTTTCTCCTCAGGACCAATATTTTTATTGATAATCAGTACTATCATCATATATAGTCTACTATAGTCTCTACATGTGTTGAAGTAGCCTTACAACCAGAGGGGCAGAGTGGATCGGGGATGCGTAAGTGGTACATGGGGGGTTAGGGGGGGGGGACATTGTTCTGCACCTGGTGATGGAATCTCTGGTTAGACCACCGGGTTATGGACAAAAACATTTTTCTCAAATGAGCTATTGCTGCCTGAGTTTTGCAATTCAGCTTTCAATGTTCTACTATTCAATGTTTAATGTCAAGCTAATAAACTTTCCTGATTTTCTGTGGTATTTTAGAAGCTCATGGATACCAATTACATTCACATAACAGCATCATTTTTTTTTTTAAGTAGACAATACAGTCTTCACTACATGGCAACTCTTGACATACTATACCCTCAAAATGATTATGTTAATGTTAAAGTTAAACATTAGTTAGTCTCTGCATAGTTTGTGGTAATATATATTTACTTAATTTTCACTCAGACTTTCACATTTTAACTGTAGAGTTAGCATCTAAATTACATTCCTGAGCTTAATAAAACCATATAAAATTGATAACATTTCTTAAATCTAATCAGTTTAAGAGTGATCCACTGTGAACATGTACAAAACCATAGAATACTTTTCTATACCTTAGTAACAAAGAACAATTGTTGGCAGGTTAGAGAGTCATAGTTCGTTTACCTTATCTAATTAATATCCAGTGGCTTATCAACTGTTACACAAAAATATTGCGTGTGACTGCATGTAATAACCACTTGGCCTGCTTTGCCTGCTCTCTTCACAGGTAAAAGTGGAAATTTATTCCAGATATCTAAGACCTTTTCAGTGAAGGAGCACTGTCTCATCGCACACCTCAAACTTCAAACAAGGTTCTCTAGAACTTCTGGATAACCTTGTTTGAAGTTTGAAATCTTTCTTACAATGTCTTCAACAGTTATCATCCCTAATGCATTGTCTATAACACAAGACAAACAAGTTAAGACCATGGATTTACCTTGGTTCCTTGATAGAAATCATCAATAGACTGAGAACTCATAAATGGAAACTGGAAGTGGGTGTGAGTGTCGATTCCTCCCGGAATGACTAGTTTGCCAGTGGCATCAATCACTTTTATACTCTCTGGCTTTGCAGGACATAGGTTGAGTCCTACATCTTTCACCAGACCACCTTCGATGTAGACATCGGCCAAAAATGAAAAATCATCATTAACTACTTTTCCCCCTTTAATTAAAATCTTGCTGGGAGAAGACATTTTCTCTTTCCTTGATTACAGTAAAATATTTGTTGGTATGCTGGCAACTACTGTTGCTTTCTTCTTTACTTTTAGAACAAGATTTTACAAAATATAATATTTTTTAAAAAATGCTGTTATGACTTCTACAACATTTACCCTGATGCCTTCAGACAAGATGAGGCTTTTTATACAAGATGTCAAGCATTAGCAACAATGAAACATGTGACTCCTCCTTTTGGCTTCGATAAACAAGGGCAAGAAAAAAGATCAAGCTTCATGGAATGTTGGCCAAGCACAGTGAATTGTTGCCAATTCAGATGAAGGTCTCTCTATGTACTTGCGCCAACAAAAGTATTTTCAGGACAACACAGCTTTGGGGCACAACACAACTGTTATATAAGCCATTATATATTTTCTTTTAATAAAAAAGCAATCAATTTATTGAGCATAGTCACAGCTACACTGCCCAACTTGCAAGTATAGGTCAGAAATATGAAGACAGCAGTGACAACTCCAAGAATAGTACACAGGGGCACAAAAGATATCACAGTCAAAACTGGGGGGCACTCATAATTTCCGCAACTAAATCATATTAGTAGTGGTTGCAGGAGGGATAAAAGGGGTAGTTGGTGTCGGGAAGGGAAAGGGGCTGTAATAGGTGCAGGGGAGGGTTATGGACTGTAGTGTGTGCAGGGGATAAGGTGGGTGCAGTGGGGATAGGAGCTGTAGTAGGTGTAGAGGATAATGGGGGCTGATGCGGGTGCAGGGGGAAAAGATGCTGTATGGAGTGCAAAGATAGAGGCTGTTGAGGGTAGAGGCGGATTTAGTGGGTGCAGGGGAGGGATGGGTGCTTTAGTGGGTGCAGGCTGTAGTGGGTGCTGTAGTGGGTGCAAGTTGGACAATGCTACAGTGGGTGTAGAGGTGGGTGAGGGGCTGTGGAGGGTTATAGGCTGTAGTGGAAACAGGGAGTTGTAGGGGTTGTTGTAAGCACAGAGGCTGTATTGGCACAGTGGGGATAGGAGTTGTTATGGGTAGAGGAAAAAGGAGGGGTAGCTGGTGCGGGGTGGGGGTGTAGCTGGTGCAGGGGGATAAAGGCTGTAGAGGGTAATACTTAGAATGGCCAGATTTAACTATAAAAAAAATAGAGAGAAAACACAACTAGCAAAGATCAGGGACCAGAAATAAAGAAATTCAATAAATATCTAGCCAGGTCAGGATTACAGAGGTCACAAGAATCACCAGAATATCAGGGTAAATATATTGCACTCTATGAGGAACAAAGAAGAAACCATGACAGGGTAATGACTATGGGGCTAAAACTTTATTTAAATACTGAGGTACACACTGATTGGTCCACATTATTCCTGAATTCCCAAAACGTGCAGGAACAGGGTCACAGTGATTACTTGGCACTGCCAGCACAGAAAATTATATTAGGCATCAAATCGGTATAAGTAGATTGGGGCCTCGAGCGTGCAATGTCCCTCTCGCTATCAGCAAGCTGGAAACCATTCGCCTCCCGATTAGTGCATTCGGACATTACATAGGATTTAACCATATTAATCCTTGCATATTTGCCATCAATCTTCTTGTCCACCTGTGCAAAACATATCACTGACACCTTGGAGAAAAGATCTTGACTGCTGAACGTAAGCCACATCACTATCTAACCTGCCCTATTAATGTCGTGTAACACCTATTCTTCATTGTTTCTATATGCTACCCATTAAACTGAGAATCCAGGCCTGTTGACTTGTCACAGTACTATCTAAAATGAAGCCTCAGATGATAGTGAGGAGATTATAGAATATTTTGGGAAATGCGCACCCTTTTTCAAAATTTCTTCATGTTTTTAATCAATGAAGATCAGTATAACTTCTAGTCTATAGACTGTAAGCTCGTTTGAGCAGGGTCCTCTTCAACCTATCGTTCCTGTAAGTATTTTTGTAATTGTCCTATTTATACTAAATCCCCCCCCCCCCTTCTTCTATTGTAAAGCACTACAGAATCTGTTGGTGCTGTATAAATGGCAATAATAATAATAATAATAATAATAGTCCAGCATTAATGGTTCTAGTTAGAGATGTCGCAAACCGTCCACGAACTTCTCGCGAATGGATCCCCGCGGTTCGCCACGAGCTGTTCGCGGCGAACTCCGGTCAGCTGACAGGTCCCGGCCAATCTCCAGCAGACCCTCCCTCCCAGACCCTCCTACTTCCTGGACAGCATCATGGATCATGGATGCTGTCCAGGAAGTAGGAAGGAACCGTGGCGAACCGTTCGCGAGAAGTTCGCGGACGGTTCACGACATCTCTAGTTCTAGTTAATAAAAATAATTAATAGGGGTTTTACTAACTTAATCCACATGTAATAGCTACCTGTATAGGCAAATATATAATCTGTAATTGGTGCAGTTCTGCCATCAGGATATTAAGCACTGGGTTCTTTTAGGGAGATAGAAATATCTATCCCAAACCAGACTGCATTTAGCTGAGCCCCTACCAGTTTGGAACTGCTTGACATTGGTTGCTCCATTGTACAATAAAGCTGGAAGGAAATGGTTTCACAGTGAATTCAGGAGAGATGTCAAGGAGCCAATAGTCAGTCTTGCTTTACACTAAAAATCAGGGGAAAAAACAAAACTTACAAAAGTTATGCAAACTGGAAAGTTGCAAACAATTTGTATTTAGTTATTAATTTTAGAGTGTCTGAAACAGTGTGTTTGTGTGTTTGGGCCATTTGCGTAGCTGGGGATGTGTATTTATGTTAGTCTGTGTGTCTTGAAGACTGCAACTTGTCTGCGCGAATGTCTAGGAATGTGAATGTCTGTGAGTTTGCTTTTGTGCGTATGTCTGGGAATGTGTGGCCTCTTATAAATGATTTTAGAAGGGCCCTGTGCTTTCTGATGTAAGAGGAGCTATTTTCCATCCCATGTTCATATCAATGATTCTGATTTAAAGGAAATTGTTGAGAGCAAAAAAAAGAGTGATATTGGTATGAGAAGAGATGGAGAGAGATTGTATTGCAAATTCTATAATTTCTATTAACTATAGTCAGGCAGTTTTAAAGATCTTTGTTGCCACAACCCTTCATGAGAATAACCCCACTCACTTCTTTGTCTCTCTCTTTCTGTTTTTCGTTGTCTCTCTACCCAATGTCTTCAATACCCTCTTGTTCAACAGTCTCTTTTTCAGAACTCCAATACCATATTTTGTTCTTGACTTCCCACCAGTCTATATGCAATTGATTCTTCCAATTTCTATTTTACCAATGTGGTGTGTTGCCGTGAATGTCTTTACCAACAGATCCATCTCACTCTCTTACATGTTCTTCCCAAACCATTTGCAAACTTTGTTTTTCACTTTTAGCCCCTTCTCATTTTCCTGTTTATTCCACACTCCACAGCCTTTATTTGGTTCTTTCATCTAATTGTTTCTGTCTAATTAACAGAGGAGGGAGGAAAAAAAAACAACTTTTTATTATTTTACCAAAACACAATTTTACAGTTTTCGCTGGACTTTTTCACACCTCTCATACTATCTTTCTAACTCCCCCTCTCTCTCAGCGATGTGTGTCTCCTGTTGTTTTTCTTAGTCTCTTCTAAGTTTTTGTTTTTTAGTATTTTTCTCACCTGTCATGCTATTTTTTTTACTTCCTCTCTATCTGCCTGTTTGTCTCCAGATGTTTTTTTTAGTCTCTCTTAAGCTTTTTATTTATTCTGTTCCTAGTTCCTTTTCTTGGTCTCCAAAATATGTTTTTAAAAGAAGTCTGTTCACTAAACATTGAGTTAAATTACATTGAAATAATGTCCAATGCATGACCAAGAGTTATCCACTTCATATTTTCTTTATTTTTTTTAATTGAACCATACGTAATCTAGATAAGTGGCTTATTGACATAAATGTTAGCCTTTAAGACCCAGAAATATATATTATGTGCCTATTATTATACCCTTCTCTAAAATAACTTTATGTGACACATGAGCATGAATGACACCTCATGCTCTAATAATAGGTCGTGGAAGTGAAGAGAGCTAATCTTGTCCCTCTTCTGCTTATTCCAAAAATGGAATAATATAATCATACTTTTTTTGTATGAAGGAAAGGTGAAGAAGGAAAAAGGGTGAGGGAATATAGAGAAGGTTACCACCGCAATGAACCAGCAACAAAATGGATTCTAAACCCAAATTATTAGGAAGAAGCATATTACCACCATGGGGAATATTACCATTTTTTAAACTATGCCTTTTATGTCTGGGAGTTCAAATCGATGCCACAAAGAGTATTTAAAAGATATCTGTCATCAAATTTAAGGGAAAAAAAATGTAAGTTGACGTCTTACTAAATATCAGGAATATGTCTTTGAACCTAGTTGATTTCTTGATAACATTGGACATTCTAGCGGACCACGGGTAACCCGATCGGTGACCTCCGCTAATTCCTCTACTCAGCCACTCTGCAACCGTTAAAATAAGCAGACCTCCATTCCCCCAGTAACCAGATGAAACATAGTCCTGGGAGTCAACTGATTTTATTCAGGCCATATGTGGCTTTTATGCCCAGATCCCTATATAGGGTTTCCAACACACAAATACAAAGTTTTCAATTACAGGATCCTCTGTGCCTGAGAGATAATTGCGTGAGACAAACATATAATCCAATTATCTCGCAGGTACAGAAAATCCATACAAAATATAAAGTACCCCAAAAGTGTCCCCACCATACTCAGGAACCCCACAAAAAGTACATCCCAGGATAGCCCCGATCTGAGTGTATAACATATCCAAAGATCACTCAGATTGGTTCAGTGAAACAGGAATGCCATCCAGGTAAAGTTTTGACTGGCCAGACACGAGGCGCTAGCCCAAAACAGTTCCAGGGAAATAGGTGACCTGGCCGGTCTCTGTCCTGGGGGTTCCTGTGTGAAAAGCATGCAAGGGAATCTCTTCATTTCAGGATATGAATGCTCCCCTTGTTTGGTAGTTCATATCTCCTGAACATTGTTCGTATAGGTGGTCGTGAAATAGAACGGGCAGTGGTCTAATCTTTACTGGGATTCGTGCGAGTGCCTTGCCAAAAAGAGTTTCAGGCACTCGACAACCAAGCACCGCTGCCCACGTTTGGGAGACTATATGGCTGCCATTCTTTTGTACACCACGTGCGTTCTGTTTTACGAAATAGCGGCCACCCAGGGGTAGCATTCATTAATTACTTCCCTTGCAGTTTTGCACTTAAGTTGCTGGTGTGAACATTTTAATGGGGTACAAGGGTGGTCCTCGTTTGGGAGACGAATGGATATGTTTCATATGAAGTACTCTTGAAAAAGGGTAAAACAGATTAAATGAGGGGAAAACACACACAATAGGTGGTAAGTTCCACCACACAGCTATTTGGATTAGGAGCAGCCAGAACGGGTGCATCTATAAGAGCGCTCATTAATTATTCTGTATATGTTGGGTGGCCACTCTGCAGTTTTAATTATGTCTCCCCCTTTACTGGCCTTTCAGTGGGATACCTTTGTCTCCATGGCCCTTCTGCATATATCTGTACTTTGCCTTACCTGGACCTTTGGGCATCTATACTAAACATTTTGTGCGGTTTGTTTTACTTTATATTCAGGTTACTAAGTTTAGGATGCCCTGGCAAAAGTACTAGTGTGTCACGCATGCGCGCTGATGACACCACGCGAAGAGTGCATTTTTGGACATTTTCAACTCTTTTTGGATTTTCTTGGACTCTGTGAGTGAGGCACTCAACTGACAGTTGGGGAGAGTGGTGAAGTGTTAATTCTTCCAAGTCGCTTACAGTTGGGGGCTTTGTACATAAAGGGATGTGTCCCAAAATGTTTGTAATTTCTTTGACCCTTCCTTCACCAGCAATATCAATTTTGTGCCTGAGGTATTTCTATGCTATATGTTGCACTGTCTGAGGCATAACAGTAATGTACCTGTTTGGTAGCAGTGGGCTACTTGCTTGCGATTGTTTAGGCACTGCAGTCATCTACTCCTTACTTTGTTTTTAGGTGAAAACTTAAAAGTTCCCCCCAAATTAAAATAAATAAATAAAAAAAAATTAAAATCATTACATTCACCAGTGCTGTAGAATTTGTTGGTGTTTTATAAATACCAGTAATAATATTAAAATAATTAAACTTATAAAAGAAATAAAATTAAAAATTTGCTGCAGCCCAGGAGTAGTGGGCATTTGAGCACAGGGCTTAAAGGACCACTATAGGCACCCAGACCACTTCAGCTTAATGAAATGGTCTGGGTGTCAGGTCCATCTAGGGTTAACCCTGCCTGCTGTAAACATAGCAGTTTCAGAGAAACTGCTATGTTTACCTATGGGTTAATCCAGCCTCTAGTGGCTGTCTCATTGACAGCTGCTAGAGGCGATTCCGCGCTTCTTACTGTGATTTTCACAGTGAGAAGATGCCAGCGTCCATAGGAAAGCATTGAGAATGCTTTCCTATGGACTGGCTGAATGCACGCGCGGCTTCGATGACAGGGAAAGGAGGCGGAGAGTCCCCAGCGCAGAGGGAGCCCAGCGGTGGAGAAAAGGTGAGTGTTTAACCCCTTCCTCGCCCTAGAGCCCGGTGGGAGGGGGACCGTAAGGGTGGGGGGACCTAGAGACCCTATAGTGCCAGGAAAACGAGTATGTTTACCTGGCACTATAGTGGTCCTTTAAATTTGTGTGTTTGTATTTGCTTTTATATTGCACAGCTGTGTTGCAGGGCTGCCGCCCACCCCATGCATGTCATAATAAGGGTTAGTAAGTGCGCAGGGGTTTAGAAAAATACCACTCTCTTTTCATTAGAGGTTTTACCTTTTAGCTAAAAGCAGCAAGGTGAAAAGTTAGGAACCATAGCAGACTTGTCAAGCAATTTGATTCAAGTGAATATTAGACTAATAATTATTTTTCACCATTCCTGTAAGGTATACACTTTTCAGTTCGGCTGTAAATTCTGTAATTAATGAACACAATTAATTGTATCCTTTTTTATGTATTGCATATAATACATTGCCCTTTTATTACTTTTACTGTCTGCAAGTCCAGCGACCTTGTACCTTGTATCAGTTTGCTCACAGTGAGGCAATGACCTGCGTTTGAAAGAAGTGACCGCATGTCAGTGCATGACCCCATCTGACTACTCTATAGCTGGTCATGGGCAATATCTGAACGGAAAATCAGCTAGAAATGTATAAATATATAATAGTATTGGGGGAAAAAACTCTGCAAATATAAGTCAACATGTCAACTCAAGTCACATTTTAGTTAATAGATGCTGTGAAGAAAGGAGTATTACAACACTGTATTTAAACTCTACCTTTAGATCAGACCTGCACAACTTGGTAGTAGGTAGTGGCCAATATTAAAATAGTCCAAACTTCTTCGGGCTACAGATAGGTTTTTAGCCCCTCACATTCCAAGTAAAGGTATAAAATTACATATAACAATACAGATACACTGACACACATACACATGCACACACACTATGACAGATATACAGATACACACACATATACTGAGAGACATACAGGTACACTGACAGACACACACTGACAGACATTCAGACACACACACACACACACACTAAAAGACACAGAGATACACACGCTAACGGACATACAGACAGACACACTGGTAGACATACAGATACACACAGACATACAGATTTACATGCACCCTCCTCCCTCCTGCGCAGCTCCAGTCACTCTGGGAGGAAGTGACCAGTTGTCACTTCCACCCATACCACCGATAAGCAAGGGGCGCAGTGTTAAAGGGCCACAATGCCCGACCGGGCCCTTTCTGGCGCAAACCCACCCTAAGTGCATAGGCCACCCGATGGGCCTCCTTAGTGTGCGGCCCATACTTTGTGGGCCGTCGGAAATCCCTTACTTTTTTGTGTATGAATAGAGCATTATATTGTGTGTGGTTAAATATGTTTGAGAGAGTGGCTGATTTTGAATGTATACATGTACAGAGAGTGTGGGCAGCAAAGTGGGGTGGGGAGGGCCTGACTTGGATGGAATTTGTAAAGTATAAAAATATATTACAGCACTTTCTTTTTAAAGCAGTGTCCCTTTTTTCAGGTGCCCAGGAACAGCATTTTATCAAGCTTGATAAAGACTGTCGCAGTGGTTGAAACGTTGCTGTTTTACACTTTGGTTACCTGAATACAGGGACATTACTTTAAAAAGGAAGTCTTTAAATTATTTTTTATACTTTCCTGAATATACACTGCTTTGTATGGAACCAGATTCCTTGCAGTAGTTTAGAAACACTAAGATTATTTTCTGGAAAAGAGGATAGTAAGTAAAACTAGAAAACCTACAATTTCTGGGGAAATTGTGTGAAGTGTTCTTGCCTCCACCAGTAGTCTACAACTGGAGTGGGCGGAGTAACTGGGTGGAGTGGCTGGAGTAACTGTTGTGTGGTTGGAGTGGCTGTAGTAACTGTGGAAAGGTTGGACTGGGCAGAGTAACTGTGTGGAGTGGGCAGAGTAACTGTGTGTAGTTTTTGGAGTGAGTAAAGATAGTAAACATTATACTAACCAATTGATCAAATTTAAAAAGTGCACACGGCAAGCTTGATAGAGTGAGAAATGCATTTCAACTTTTATTTATTTATATAGCACATTTAATTACAACGTTGTTGCCCAAAGTGCTTCACAGTTACATTAAAACATTCATTTATAAAAACATTAGCAGGTGTACAAAAGGCCCTGTCTATGACATCACTTGCTGCTCCAGCCTGGCACAGGTCAGAGTATTTTGCCATCTTCAAACGGTATTTTACAAACTATACATCCTACAGCGAAGAGCTTTATATTGTGAGAATCACAAGACACAGACCTACATTTTGACACATAGTATGTCTCTGAAATATTAAAATGAAGGCACAGTCACAGTTTCGAAATTGTCATTCAAGTTTGAGCTGGCTAGAGTGGAGTTTCAATGAATGTCAATGGACGGCGTGAGTTGCAAACAAATGGTCATGTTGTGAAAACTATCAGGACTATGGCTTAGCCGTGGATACGTTTAGTGGCAGCAGGGATAGCTGAACGTTTTGATATAAGATTTGTGTAGGTGGGCTTGAAAATGAGGGAGTGGTGGCAGTTTAGAAATCATGTCCTTATTTTTCAGCTTTTGCCAGCTAGTTTTGAACATTTTGCCATTCATTCCCATGGGACCAATTTCGACACAAAAATGATGATATTCCGTGAACCATTCGGCAAACGTTCCACAAAGTAATAGCAATCCAATCGGGAACAATCCGCACGTTTCAGTATATTACTGTCTATGTAGTGTAAAAACTGTGGGAGGAGTTAGGGTGGTAAATTTGGCTATAATAAGAATAAGAATACTATATATGTGAGATAACATAAGTGGTCTTGTTATGCAAGAACACTTAAATATAGGAAAATTTGGGGAATATATAGGGAAAAAATTGCGTCTCTTTAATTCTGTAGTTAGTTTCAGTTCTCCATGACAGCATTTAGGCACATTAAAAAAATGAGGCTTGTTTGAAATCTGCCCTGTTTCAGCAGGATTTGCCCATGCCTAGTCTCCTTTAAGAAGGAATTTCCATTGAGTTGCCATTTGGGCCGCAGAGCCAGCTGTCCATAAGTGGAGGCATGATACTGGACTCTTTATTCAGGAGCCATCATTGGCTGATAGCACCAGTGGGTGGGGTTACAGTGTCCACAGAGAGAGCACAACAGGAACTGCTCCTGGCCACTGCCAAATGTAAGTCTATAATATTATCTTTTTCTCCACCCCAAAGCCACAGTGACTGTCTGAAGGCTGATTAAGTAAAGGCATTTACTCAAATACATAATTAATACATATAAAGTCAGGGATACCCAGGGACGGCAAGGCGAGGGGGCAATTCTGACACAGAGCACTGTGCTGCCTTTCCCTAATAGTTTTAATAACTTCTATTGCACATAACCACCATCTTCTTTTAAGTGCTCATTCACTCTACAGCTGAGACCAGCGACAATCATGCTGTGGCTAGTTGAAAGATTGTGAAGTTTCAAATTGCAGGACTAGGGCTGTGACTCTGAGGACTGATCTAAATCTGATTTCAATATGTTTTAATTTGTAATGATTGCTGATACTGTTAACCATGTCAGCAACTTCTTGGCTCCATATTTTCACTGCAGATTAAGTATATTGTCAGCTGCAAAGATAATAATGAGCCTATCAGTATCCTACTGCTTTGCCCATTTGTACATTGTGTGCTGACTGCCAATATTGAGGCAGGAGTTGCTATCATGTTTGGAGTCTATCAGTATCTTGATGCTTTAACCATGTGCACACTCTGTGATGAGAGCTAATGGAGTAACTGACGTTATATAACAGCAATAATATTTAATAGAAAGCTAATGTTATCATAGCAGGAGCACTACTGATGATGAGACCATTAAGGGGGAGCTAAGAGAGAGCTAGGAAGATAGACAGAGATAGAGAGAAAGTTAAAGCAGTTTACAGAGACATGTACTATGTAGGGATCTCTGAATTGCAGCTCTTTGTAATCCATCATGATCCTGGTTGTGTGGGATAGTTATGAGTATCTCCTTATTGTGCCCATCACTGTGTGTGTTATTTCTCTGTATTTTACTCAGCTCTACCTGTTGTATGGATATTCCCATAGTTTACACAGCTCTGTTTATTGTATAGGATCTTTGTATTGTGCCAAGCTCTGTATATTAAATAGAAACTATAGTCACCAGAACAACTACAGCTTATTATATTAGTTCTAGTGAGTATAATCATTCCTTTCAGGCTTTTTGCAGTAAGCACTGTTTTTTTTCAGAGAAAATGCAGTGTTTATATTACAGCCTAGGGATAACTCTACTAGTCACTCCTCAGATGGCTACTAGAGGTGCTTCCTGGAGCAGTACTGCACACTGTGTAGCACTGCCATTCAGTGTCTCCACCCTCTGCATGGAGACACTGAACTTTCATTATAGAGATGCATTGATTCAATGCATCTCTATGAGGATATTCTGATTGGCCAGGGCTGTGTTTGGCTTGTTCTGGCTCTGCACTGAACTGCCGTCTGTACAGTCTCTGCCAATCCAATTCTTTCCTATGTGAAAGCATTGTGATTGGCTCACACCAACACTTCTGATGATGTCAGCCAAGCAGGCAGATCGGGTCAGCACCAGCAGCAACAGACTGGAAAAAAGGTAAGATTTTACTATATTTAGGGAGCCAAGAGGGGAGGGAGTGAGGGAGGGTGGTGGGCAAGGGGGCTAGATTGTGTTTTTAACACTATAGGGTCATGTTTGTGTTTCTGACCCTATAGTGTTCCTTAAAATCTCTTTTTTCCCCCACAGCTCTGTTTGTGCTATGGTTATCTTTGTATGGTACTCAGCTCTGTGTATTTTATTGATATCGTTATGTTGTGCCCAGCTTGTTTTATTGTATGAGCGTCTCTGTATTATGATCATCTATCTGTATTGTATGAGTACTGTATAGGGTAGCGTAAGATTATGGGGGAGGAATCTGGCGCCCCGCCATCTTAAATCTTCACCATCCACCACTGCCTATAGATTTGTGCAATAACAAGCTGTGTGAACGCTCTTCTCCTAACACTGCAATAGTATAATCCTTTAAAAGTCGATTACATAATATTTATGTCTATTCTCACATGCTGTGGCACCGGTAACACTAATTTGTGGAACATCTAAATTGTAGAATGTAAAAGATATCATTAACAAAGTTGGCAAATCATTAACTAAATGCTAATATGAAAAACAATGAGGGTGGTAGCAGTACATCCAATCAGGGAAGAATATGTAAGAAACTCCACACTGTACAACTCTGATTATTTGTACCATAATTAACCCCACAGCCTGATTATGTATAGCAATTAATACATGTACCATTTTACCACCTGTACTTGTCTCTATGGCATATGTGTATCAAAAAAAATCACAGTATCTGTTAATTATGTTTATATTTATCGTGGCAAAAATGATTCTGGGGCAAATTGATGGGCAGATTTAAATTACAGGCTCCAAAACCTCGGGCCCTATACATTCCCAAAAAATTATTGTGTTAATACTATTATTATGTTCATGTAATAAATAGGCATTAGAAGCATATATAGATTCATTTCTATGTTTAAATATTTTTACTTGTGTTTAAAAGCAAAACCACATTTGAGTGCACATAGAAAGAAGGCTCATATAAAACCAACTGTGTAGGTGTGTATCAACTGGATATTTAGAAAAACGTCTCCTGTTCAAATAAAAACTGCAGACATAGATAAAACCATCACTAAATTACCTTTGTACCCTATGTGTGAATGCATGGTACATGCATGGTGTGGTGACAGTGGTGTGCCAGAACGTGCACATAGTGTGTAGAAGCATGTAAATAGTGTGAAAGTGAGAACAATGTGTCAATGAGTGTTCTATTATAATAATTAATTGTAATAATGCATGTCATTTACAACCGCGGTTTCTCTCCTCGAACCTGTTGCATTGGTGCACAGTAGTGCTGTGTGTTTTTATGTACTTTTGCCATTTGAAAGCAGTGGTTTACGTGTGTGAAGTGCCTTTGAATGTAAGGGGGTGTCTGCATGTCGTGTCGAGATTTGAATGCAGTGGTGTATTTTTGTGTGGTGTTGGCGTTTGAATGCTGAGATGTATGCACATACCCACACTAATACATACAGATACACAGAATGACACTCACACATTGCCATTGGGTGGCCCTAGGTTCGATGACCTGGCTCAGCCTTGGACCGCCGCCCTCCAGCTACAACACTGCCGGTCTGGTGCAGGGGACGCTGCTGCGGTTATATTGGCTGGGCTGCGAGTTTGACATTATACACCCCAGCATCGCATCCACTGACTTATTGTAGAAACTAGCCATTAATACTACAGTGATCAGGAAATAACTATTTAAAAAAAAGGAAAATATTGTCATGCAGTCGTGCCCCTTTTAATACCCCCCAAAAATATATACACTATGGACACGCCAGGTTGTGAATATAGATTTAGTTTTGTGAATAGCTCTCCAGAAAGAACCCTGGATCTCACAGCTGTTTCTCCTGACAACCCCTGGTAGAGTAAATTGCCAGGAGTTCTGTCACAAGTTACGTCACCATAGTATTCTCGTCAACGTATGAAAATATGAAACAGCAAACGTAAAGAGTACTGTTGGAATGTGTATTTCCATTTAAACAGCCACACATTCCAGAGATACTACACTTTATAGTACTAGAAATGGCAATGCTATCTTAAAGGGACACTATAGTCACCAGAACAACTACAGCTTATTGAATTTGTTCTGGTGAGTAGAATCATTACCTTCAGGCTTTTTGCTGTAAACACTGTCTTTTCAACTTCACTGGCCACTCCTCAGATGGCTGCTAAAGATCCTTCCTGGGTCATGGCTGCCTAAAATGCATCCAAACATTCAGTGTCGCCTCCCTCTGCATGCAGACACTGAACTTTCCTCATAGAGATTCATTGATTCAAGGATGAGGAGATGCCGATTGGCCAGGGTATGGGTCTGTATTTGCAACATTTCTGCCTGAAACACATAAAGCATATCCAGGGATATTTGCAATTGTGTGGCAGAGGCTGGCTCTGCCCCTGATCTGCCTCTTTGTCAGTCTCAGCCAATCCTATGGTGATTGGATCAGGCTACCACTTCTGCTGATGTCAGCAGGCAGTGGGCATGTGTAAAGGAAACAGTGACAATGTAAGCAGCTCCAGACTTGAAAACAAGTAAGATTTCTATATTTAGGGAGGCATGAAGGGACCACGGTGGCTAGATGGTCGTTTTAACCCTATAGGGTCAGGAACACATGTTTGTGTTCCTGACCCTATAGTGCTCCTTTAAGTCGCAACAATTTACTAGAATTTGTGGCAGGGTTATTCGCTAAACGGGATCTAAACATTGTATGCCACAAATTGGAATAATCAGTGATTATTTCTGATAATTCCTGGTTTAAAGAATAACTCTTGGATATTTTCGAAGTGGATGTGAAATGGGCAAATCACGTGATTCTAAATGACTTTACGAAATTCTTGAATTAAATCAGATATCCATACCTTGGTCCCCGAGTAGAAATCATCGATGGCATGAGTGCCCATAAACGGTAATTGCATGTGAGTGTGAGTATCAATCCCGCCAGGAATCACTAGCTTTCCTGCAGCATGTATAATCCTCAAGTTAGTCAAGTTATCCAACTGCAGATTTGGTCCAATTTCTTTAATCAAACCATCTTCAATGTACACATCAGCAACCTCGGAGAAATCATCGTTAACTACTTTCCCACCTTTAACCAATATCCGGTTAGAAGCCATATCAGAAAGTTTTACTATCTGAGTTAGTTTTACGAATTGAGTTAGTTCTCTTTTCTCTCTTATTTGATAAATTAAAAAAAATAGAGAAAGAGAGAAAGAAGACAAAATAATAAGAAAAAACGTAGCAGAAACCAGTCCTTTGGATTATCCAGATCTCTAAGATGTTATGTGCTTATTCCAGACACAGCTCTCCGCTGTGAGAGTTGATCTTGTGTGTGTCCTACCCTGATAGGCTATGTTATACACTGCATTCCAGAGCTTGTTTTAAACACTGCATACCAGAGCTTCCATGAAATATTATTCATTGATAGCATTCTCCGTTTGCCTCCCACTCTTTCCAAAATACTATGAACGCAACAATGTATGATTAACTTTACTAACTAAAACACAGATTGTTTGTGTAGCCATGAAAGTATAGAATTTACACAAGTATTTATCTTATCTAAGGTATCTAACTGTTCATTAACCCCCCTGGATGTATGGAAGTTGTACAGTTAATAACCTAGAGAATCCTTAAATGCCCTTTGACTTTTGGTCCTATCTCCAGTCCTCACATCAATTACTATTATTATTATCAGCATTTATAGAGAATTAACATATTCCTCAGCACTTTACAATTATAGAAAGGGGACATTTAGAGGCGAAGAAGGCCCATGGTCAAATGAGCTTACAATCTACGAGAATTTCAGGTAGGTGGTAGGTAGGTAGGATTTGAGGTAGGTGGATATATGTTAATAGGTGTTTTGCCCAAGGACACTTACTGGTGAGATGGTTATAATGCACTCAAATTCCCATATTTGTCTACAATATATACACTCTAAACAACATAACATAGGAGTTAAAAGGGTGAATCATTATATTCACAATATATTGCAGAATTAATTTTATTACCACCCCATTACAAATATAAAAAATAAAGACAAATACAGTGGGACCTCGGTCTACGAATTTAATGCGTTCTCTGGGACGTTTCTTATTGCGAAAAATTTGTAAACCGAAATTCAGTTTCCCATAGGAATGCATTGAAAACCAATTAATTCATTCTGGAGGTCAGAAAAAAGTAAAAATGAGCTGGCATGGAAACCAACCCACAATGCAGAACACACAATAAAAGGCATGCAAACGAAGAAGCTCAGCTCCCTCCCTACCTTTCCACAGCTTGAGAAATGCACCAAAAAGTCCCAAAACAACTGCAAACAATTTCCCGAATGGCTCCAAAACTCGATACAAAAGCCGCTCCAACACCTCCACACTCGACGCCACGTGCTACCCACAGCCTCCAGCATGCAGGGCTCGGTGCTATAAACCTCCCAGGTGCAATGCATCCTGGGGAAACTTGCTTTGTATTGTGAAAGAAAATTGTAAACTGAGGCATTATTTTCAATGGATTTTAATTTGTAAACCGAAAATTATGTTAACCGAGGCGTTTGTAAACCGAGGTCCTATTGTATATAATTACATAATTTGCTTTCACTGAAGGTGAACTTTCACTTTACTGAAAGCAGGCTCTAGGCAAAACTGAAGCCCACACTAACACCCATTCTGAAAAAAATAAATTAGGGTTGCAATGTGTGTGTATAAGGAGCTGTAGTTAAATTGAAGATCAGCGCTGGATACAGAGATCTAGTCTCTGTATTCATCGATCAAAGGCTTGCAGTGTCGTGGCTTCCTGACAAGGTTGGGGGTGAGAATGGCATGGTTGGAAGCAGGGCCAGTGCAAGGATTCTTTATTCACTAAACTCTGAATTCCAGTGAATAGTCATTTATGGAAAGAGACACACTGAGTAGACATTAAAGGGAAACTATAGTACCAGGAAAACAAACTTGTTTTCCTGGCAGTATAGCTTCCCCCTCTCTCAAGCACCCTTACCTTGTGGTGCAAAAGGGGTAAAAACAACCTTTCGTCACTGATGTCCCTTGGTGCTGGCTCGGTTCCACCTTCACTCATTAATGGTCGCATTAGGATTTCCCCATAGGAAAGTATTACACAATGCTTTCATATGGGGTTTTGCGTGCCGCTGGATGTCCACATGCATGGTAATCATTGCAGTTTGTTAACCCCTTAGTGACTGCGGACGTCAACCCAAAAAATGGTAATTAACGACCGCTGACGCAACCTTTACGTCCGCGGCCAAAATGAGCACTGGAAGAGATCGGGATCGCTTCCAGCCGCTCTTAGGGTATTATATGATGCCGCCTCAATATTGAGGCATCATGGAATACCCCCTCTGACTGCCGGGACCCCGAGTGATCGCTGCCCCCTGGAAAAAAAAAAGTTAATAAAAGTAAAAAAAATATATTTAATTAAATTAATAAATTCTAAATATATATATTATATAAATATATATGTTATATTACAGCTTGCACGCCCCTAAGGCCAGCACTGCTGATTAAGCCGGAGCTCCTTGAGAACTATTTCATGGTCTGCAACTCAGCACCCAGTGGAGTTGTAGACAGGAAGCTGGTAGGCTCTCTCCCCCCTGGGCAGACTAAGTGGAAGGGCCCCTCACCTAGAGGACCCCCTCCTAGTTTCGAGCCCTCAGCCACAGATTTTGCCATGTATAGCTATAAGTTATCTATCAGGTTGTGCAAATAACTCACATGTGATTGTGTTTCATGCTGCTAAGGTGCACTCAAATATGTGGAGAATGCCAAAGAGTTATTCCAACTACCATGACCACTTCTGCTTTTAGAAGTGCTCATGGTAGTACGGGGTCTGTATTTGCAGCATTTCTGCCTGAAACACATAAAGCATTTTCAGGGATATTTGCAATTGTGTGGCAGAGGCTGGTTGCACCCCTGGCACAGAGTGCTGGCGACAGGCGTAATAGAAGCTTATGTCTCCTCTTCCTCCATTTTATACTCTTCTCTATTGTCCTCTCTCCTTCCCTACTCCCTTTGCTGGTTCAGAAGCGTTTGAATTGACTGCCGCATGGCTCCTTTGTGGTCAGACGGAGACATGCTGAGCAGTGCAGGGAGCTTCATCCAGTGTTGAATTCAAAATAAAAAAAACCTTATTTAATATCTTTTTTTTAGTATTTGAGCAGGAGGGAATCTAAATAATAATTTGAATTATTTCTAAAAAAGAAAACATTTTTCATTCAAAAGGCCAAAAAAGGTTGGAGAAACCCTCTAAGACCCAGCTTAAATCTGGGTTGCTGCAACTGTATAAGAGCCACCCTCAACCTTCTCCTCTGCCACAGGAAGATGGCAAAAAAAGTCATGTGGACATCATGGTTTAGGAGAAGTAGAGAAAGGATTTGCAGTGGGTATAATACTTTGCCAAGCCCTGCCTGATATCACGAGAAAAATGTATCGCCAATTTTTTATTTGAGAGAATATGTTGGATGAACGGAAACATGTTAAGCTTGTATAAATTGGTAATTAGTCTAGGAATTAGAATGCCAAGGTGTTATCTGGGAGTCCGATCATTGGATGGCATCAAAATCGTAGGAAGGCTGCAAGGGATTTAGTCCAAACCCTAAAGCCATATATTTGGACTGCTTAACACAATAGCCTATATAAGGATACAATGAGTAATCTTAAGCAGGAAGGTATTCAGATGTACAAAGCAAGATATCTTCTGCGAATGCCTTGATGTTTATTTGGCTTGAACAAACTGAAATCCCAGGGGAGGTTATGTAAGATACAGATCAAAGGGTCTACAGAGTGTTTAAAGAGAAAAGGAGATAATAGACAGCCTTGACAGATCCCTCTTTCCTTAAAAGCCAAGTCACAAATGTTAATTTGTAATTTAGTAGAGGGTGAACTATATGGATTCTTGATAAAAATTAAAGAATTTAATGAACTAAAAAATAAAGATATATTTCAAGATTTGCAACACATGGGACCAAGAAACTTACTATTGTTAGTATGGATGCTGATATGCCTGCCTGAACATCCTGGATAGACTGTCTCCCCCTGGTAAATCCCAATTGTTGTTGATGTAAAATATAAGGTAGGAATTATAGTTTTCCTTATTTGTAATAATATCAAATTTTATATTAATCATTTATTGTTAATATTACTAATATTGTATGAATCGTCGATTTCAGCTAAAGGAAGTATAGAGGTTGTCCTGCTACTTGGAATGTCCACTTAGATTAAATCTTCATCTGCTGTACCATTTTCAAATGGAAATCGAAGGATAATGCAAACGTCCGTGCCTAAATATTACTCCTAATTTAATACACATTAAAAATCCCGTGTTTATGTCAACGTTTGCTACATATGTATACACTAATATTTATCAGAACTATAATTCCGCTGAGATTGACTCCAACGTGCAAACCAACTATTACATTTGTTTTATAGATTATCTGGATGATTTGCAAATATTTAACAAAACAAATGTTGAATGATTAAATAGACTCTGCCCCTTCCCAAGTATAATTGAGAAAATCACTGCAATATCCTAAATACTTGAGAATCATAACTTCAGCTTTTTCCAATGTGAAGAATGCTGCTGATTTGTAACAGATGGTCCCTGCAGATCCAGTTGTCAGGAAATTTTACACACTACAGTGAATTACAAGATGGAATAAAAAAAAAAAACTAGGAAGATTCTCAAAGTACACATTTGAGACGGATTATATTTCCAATAACCGCAACGTTTCCTATTTGTAGCATGAGAATGGCGCTATTTTAGATTCCAGACACCCTATCTGATGTCTGTTTGATCATCATATTGCAAGCCAAGTGTTTATACACATTCCTTGAAGCGCTTATGCATATTCCATTTTAAGAAGAGTCTCACAGGATGTGTAGTGGTGCAACCAACATTTAATCCACAATCGTGCAATTGGATTCCCGATCAACAAACATTTAATCCACAATTATGCAATTTCAATCCCGATCAACGAACCATTAATCCACAATCGTGCAATTATATTCCCGATCAACAAACATTTAATCCACAATCGTGCAACTACATTCCCGATCAACGAACATTTAATCCACAATCGTGCAACTACATTCCCGATCAACGAACATTTAATCCACAATCGTGCAACTACATTCCCGATCAACGAACATTTAATCCACAATCGTGCAATTAAATTCCCGATCAACGAACATTTAATCCACAATCGTGCAATTACATGCGTTGATCGAGGTTGCACATTTATGGATTAGATGTTTGCTGCATCACTACAAGTCCTGTGAATGTCTGACAGATTTACACTTGTGCAGTTGAAAGATCTCTTCACCTTGCAACATCCTAACAGAGGGGTGTGATCAGTGTGATTATGCAGAGCAGTCTCTGATGTTGGCTTTCTCTCTCAAGCTACACAAAGATGCCCTGTTTCATTAGTGGACTGGTCTGAAACTAAGATGGGTAGCTAGGGGAGTGGAGGCTGGATACAATCACCTTGCTAATAGGCATACCCAATAATGGAATCTGACCAAGTTTATAGTACGTTTCTAAACATTCATTACTTACTTTTCAAAGTTTTTTTTTTTTAGCTTTTATTTTGGATGGTGTATTTGTTAAAAAGTGTTTGCTTGCTGGGTTAAAAAAAAATATTGTCAAGTGTCAAGTCAAATCACTTTAACTAAGAGAATGTTCGATAGTTTTCATTTAACCATTTCATCAGCAACACAGCCAAAACTGCTAGTTCATTTCCAGGTTAATATCATGCTACAGTGATTGGATGCCAGGGACAACATGAAGTAGCATATGAAAAGTACTTGTGAGAAGTCTGACTATATCTGGGTGTAAACGCGATTGGCATGACCTGCTGTTAATTTCACCTTTAAAGGTCAATCTAGAGGATATGACAAGAATGCAAAGTGCAAATGTGGCTCCCATGTGCCATGTACGTCAGCAGTCACTATGGGGTTGAATCCGGAACGGACCAGGAAATTGAAAATTTTAAGTATTCACATTAACTAAACCGAAAAAACTTTGATAATTTGTCCAGTTTGGCTAATTATAGTCTAAAATATAACATTTTATTGTCAGCTTATGGTATTTCCTAGTTTTGTTAATAACAGAGTGTGTAGACTCTACTAAAACTGCAGTTTGTTTAAATAGTAAATGACAATTAAAGAACGGGTCACAGAGCTACTCTAACAGTTAAAGAATGGGTAATCAAGCTAACACGATGTTAAATATTATATACAGTAATTGACAAGGAAGATGAGGAAACAATTAGACTGACAGCTCATCTTAGGTTAGATTCCATCTAGATACATTCCAAATGACTTTAGTGATATATTAAAGAGCTGACCTAAGGACCAAAGCCATTCCAGCTTAATGTAGCAGTTGTGGGGTATAGATCATACATAAAGCATTGCACCCTGCCAGCGGCCTCCTGTGTAAGATAAGGATTTCACATGAAGGCTGAAGAATGTCCGACCTGCAGAACTCCTCTGGACATTTAGAAAGTGTACTACCTGTGAGAACAGATTGAGATTTCTTCTAGTTATGAGCATGCCCTGGGGAGAGCAAAAGCTACAGTTACATAATTTATTTGCGACCTATATTACAAAATAATAGACCAGCAACAGTTTATTGTGTGTTTTTATTTACGAACAGTTGTTATAACCATGTACTGCTAAACCTAATGTATCTTTACCAGTGACTTGAGTCCAAACAAAACAGGGTTTATTCTAGAGATTTTTTTTTTTTTTTTTAAACTGTTTTACAAGAAAGAATAACGTTGGATGCTGTAAAAGTAGATCCCGAGAGCATGATGACGATAATCAAATGGTCACAAAGTTGCAGTTGGATTTTAGGTACAATAAGATATATGATAAATTTTCACAGCTTCTATTTCTGTAAATGGGCATTAAAGGGACACTCCAGACCACTTCTGCCCATTAGAGTGGTGTGGGTGCCAACTCCCACTACCCTTAACCCTGCAACTGTAATTATTGCAGTTTTCATAAACTGCAATAATTACCTTGCAGGGTTAACTCCTCCTCTACTGGCTGTGTTCTAGACAGCCACTAGAGGGCACTTCCTGCATCATAGCACAGGTTTCCTGTGCGAAAGCGTCGCTGGACGTCCTAATTCTGTGTGAGGACCTCCAGCGTCGCTCAATTCCCCATAGGACAGCACTGAAAAGCACTTTCAATGCTTTCCTATGGAGAGCTCTAATGCTCATGCGCAGCATTGCCGCGCATTAGGTCTCCCCCGCCGGCTGACGTAATGTAGAGGAGGAGCGGCGGCGACCCGAAACCACCGCCGAGGGACATCGGCGGGGGTCTCAGGTAAGTCACTGAAGGGGTTTTCACCCCTTCAGCAACCGGGGATGGTCGCGGATTGTTTTCCTGGCACTGGAGAGTCCCTTTAAATCATAAAGGGTTAAGCAAATCCCATTATATCATGACAACTCATGTGACGTGCCATGAAGTATTTCAGAAGCAGAAGAGAGAGAGAGAATATATATATATATATATATATATTTGTTTTGCAGAAGGAGGGTTGCCAGGACTAGTGCAGTACAATAGTAAGTACTTTGGTATGGAGCCTGCTTAGGGCACAGTAATAAATATCTTGCGCTCCCAATTGGACTGAATTTAAAGGGACACTTTAGAAACTGTAATTGCTTCATCTCATCTAAGTGTTTACAGTGTCTGGAATCATCTGGCACCATCCTTCCATTCAGTGTTAAATGGTTTTTAATGTTAGATAAGAGACCCAAGCAGCCCATCCCATCTGTGATGCTTGGGTAAATGAGGATATATTTGCCTGAGTGGCAATAGATAGCTGGGATTGGCTGAGAGTATCAGCAGACCGCTTCCAGTCTATCACAGAGCTCACTGCTGGTATGAATTGATATTGCTAGGAGGAGGTAATCTTTGCCTTAGCAATACCACCAGTACGGGGCTGGGGTGGCAGGTACCCTGTTTTAGCGTTAAAATGCTTGAAAATGGTTGAACATTGAACAGAAGGACAGCACCTGGGGACTCTGGGCACAATAGCCTGTTCAATTAGATAAAATAGTGTCCCTTTAAGATCTGCCATACAGTAACCCCTTAACAAAACCGCATTAAAGGCTTACTCCTATGTCCATCACCACATCTGCATGAAGACGTTGACAGAGGGAGCAAGCTATCTGTATGTGCAGCATTTGTGCTTGAAACGCTGCACATGTAGAGATATTTGCAGTTTTGTGCCAGGGGCTAGTTGCATGCCTGGTACACGTGACTTAGGAAGCCTGAAACTGTGTTCCAGGTAGGAATACTCCAGACCCCTAAATCCTACGGAAAAGCTTTGTGTGAAGACCCTGCCTCAGCTTTGGACAGCCACAAAAAGCATGGGCGGGGTTAGAAAGTGAGGGCTTGCAAAAGCAGTAGACAAAAGCTCTGCAGGTTTTAGATGTATCCCCAATTAAAAAAAATGTATAATTAAATATATGCAAGCTTTCGCTTAGGGTGTATCCAGTAAACAGTGATTTTTGTATTTGGGCAGTGGAACGTTAATTCTTTGTAAAATTAAGTCTGTCAGCACGCACTGCACACTGTTGTCAGATGTAATGAGTGTCTACTCTAGCAGGCAGTGCTAGGAGCGCGCCCTGCAATAGTAGGCCCTCCACTTCATGTGCTCCTTCTCAGACTCTCTGCATTTTCAGTATTTGTCCAATTTTTATATTTAAAGCCCTAATGTCCACCCACAATCCCAGAAAGCACACATGCCCTCTGAACCTGGGAGATGGTCCAATCAAATGCTTCCCTTTGAGAAACATTTGATTTGACCTGAGAATGACAACAGACGATGTGTGGAAACAAGTAACGAAAACCTTGACCAGAGCGGTATTTTTAATTTTTTTTTTAACACAAAAAAGGGGGGTGGACAATGGGAAGCATGCCCAATATGCCATTTTAAAATAAACGGATATACCGAAAATGGGTTATAGTAATCCTTTAACTGCGCACAAAAGAGCAAGAGAAGCCATTACACATCATATCTTTAACACAAATAAGAATATATTTCTGTATATGTGTATCTATCTTATATGCCTGGAACATTGTATCTGTGACTGGCAATGCATTTTTACCTGGGGATGTGTATCTGTGCATGCCCCAACATTTCTGATGGTAGCACTGAATGCAGTACTTTCAGAAATCAAAGCGTAAACATGACGAACCAGAAATAGCAAAATCTAAAAATTGTTTGGGTGACAACTGAAAATTAAGTTCACTTTTTATCCTGCATTCTGTTTTATGATGTGAGAGAACAATCTGATTAGCGACTATATATTTTCATGGGTTTTTTTTCCAATGTTTTGTGGTCACTTTTTTTCCTTCTATGACCACTGCCCCCCTACCCTCATTTGTGAAATAA